TATTCGCTTCAAAATGTCTGAACAATTGCTAACATCTTCTACAACAGTTATTTCATCATGAATGACCTTCAAGAACAAACTCATTTAATATGCTATTAAAATCATCTCAATAATGAGTCCATCCTTTCCATCTTTAGGTAGCACAACATCTTTCATTGAAGAAGGTTCAACAAGTCTTATGTTAAACTTACTGACAAAGTTTGTTATACTATAATGCTTCGGTGGCGAATACATATAGTTTGAAAGACATAATATAGATTCTTCAGCAAATTCACTTATACTGGATTTTATAATAATGTTTTCACGAGACCAAATGCCACCAATTGAAAAACTTGTAAGCAATCCTGCTGAACCTTCTACTGTAAACGTCGATGGTAACATTCCACGAAGGTCATCTATTGACATCTTTGAGTCACTGAATTTAAATATTTTCTTAAAGCAATCGTCATTGTCTAACCATGCAATAGCTTTGAAGTTTTCATTCGAATATACATCTGCTTCATTAAATGTAAATCCTGACTTCTTTGCAGAGACGACTTTAAAATCTATTGAGTTTGTTTCAAAATTATATGCTATGGTAACTTCTGAAGGTAATGGATGTCCTTCCGCAGTAAGTTGTTCTCTCACTACCGTTTGAAGCTTTGTGTTAAAAACTTTCATGTCCTCTCCTGTGTCTAGTTCACATACACAGCAACAGGAAAACTATCTTGCTTCTTTGTTTCATCATTATACCTCAAAACATTAAAGTTCTTCAATAATATTGTTCTTCCTGCTGGAATACTTCTAACTTGTCTTATTTCAATAGCTTTCTCACCTCCTACATACTCTACCCAGTGTCTTGGATATTCATAAGTATACTGACTTTCTTGAATTTTGGTAGGTTTCATCATAACGTGTTCATAGTATATCTTTATACTCTTGTTAGTTAGACTCGGTGTTATGTTCTGAATATTTCTGACTTGCATTTTTAATGGAGATAAAATGAAGCATTTAATACATGACGTAGATGAAGACATGAATGAAACACAGTAAAACTTAACTCTTCTCTCATTCTTCCTTTCAGTAAGGACTATGAGTTCTGTTCAAATGATGTTTATTTCTATTGTGGAAAGATGGGTTCAGGTAAGACATTTAACCTCATTCGTCATATACTCATAACAGAGCGTTTAGGAAACGACTCTTACTATGACCAAATCATTATATCAGCAACTTCAGACTCTATGGACTCAACAGCGAAAACATTTATGTCAAAAGTTCAAGCCTCTGTCGTTAAAGTTCCAGATAGAACTCATTGAATTTCTTCAACGTTACATTCGACGTAAGAGGAAATATTATGCTCGTTGAATTCATACAGTCAGGAATGCAAAAGACTTCTGAGGAGATGGAAAGAATTATTGACAAACACCACTTACGTCAGTACTCAGGAGTTTACGATATGAAACGACTGACAAACTACATTCTATCAAAACTTTCAAAATACCCCTTCAAAAATATCCTTCAAACACTCTGCTCGTTTGCGACGACTTCGCCGGAAAAGGTTTAGTTTCAAAGCCTGACTCACCATTAGCTAACATCATAACTAAAGTCAGACATTACCACTTAACTGTAGCAATACTTATGCAAACATGGAGGTTTTTAGCTTTAAACATAAAACGTCTCATAACTGACTTCGTTATCTTTCAAGGTTTCTCACGCTATGATATTGAACTCATTTGGAAACAGTCAGGTATAACATTACCTTTTGAAGAAATTTGGGAAGCATATAAGTCTCTCATCTCTCCTCGTTCATACCTTGAGATTCATATCATGACTAATACCATTAAAGTCAAAAATATTCCATGGGAACGACCAACATTGTTTTAAAGCTTAACCTTCAATTGACTGATGGTAAACAAATTCCATGCATCTCTGTCGCCATTTCTGTTAATATTTTTGCTGTCATTCATATCATCCACTTCCCCATCCGTTAGCTTTTGAGGATATGCGTTAGAATAGCTGTTCTTAAATGAAGGCTTTTCACCTTTGAGAGCATAAACTCTATAACTTTCTGCATACTTTATGTTTGAACCTCCTGAGCCATCATTGACATAAATTTTTATAGGCTTCCACCCTTTGTTCATGTTCCTGCTTCTTCCCTTAGCTCTTTTGTTCAGTAGTTCTACATCTTTATACACAGCACCTGTCTCAGTGAATTCAACAATATTTTCATTCGTTAGCTTTACATTCAAACCCTTGTCGAGTATATTGTTCATTTCATACATATAAAAGGTTTTTATTCTATATGAAATGAGAAGCAAATCCATCTTAGCTGGTGCCGTTAATGTTCCAATTGAACCAACATCAAATGTTGACTCACGAACGACAAACAATATTGTCATAAAGAACTATAGTTCAGAGTGTTTGAAAGAAAAAGAACCAGAACTTAAGTCGGTGAATTTAAACTCAGCTTCAAACGCTAACGCTACATCAGATGTTAAGTTAGAGTATCCACCACTGGACCAAATTCTTTCAAGAGAAGCCAACGACAACCCTTACACAAATGTTCAAACAAATCCTTCAGATAACGTAGACCATTACCTTCTTCAGTTATACCAAACTATCTTACTCAAAGACGATAAGAAGCTTTTGACAAATCTTATAAGCAAGAACCAAATAATTCTAACAAAGGAGGACCTTGAAAATGTTATATCACGAATAACAGGGAAACAATGTGTCATTGACTATCTCGACCCTGAAATCGAATGCTGTGGTCAAACTCCACTATTCATGAAAATAGGTAACATCCGCATCATTGAAACACCAGGAACTACAGGAGTTGAGTTTAAGTATAAATATTCGAACGAGTATACAAAACTTTCAACAGAATATAAACTTTGTTTGAAATATGTTTTAGTAAATTAAAGCAGTCAGGAGGGCTCTTTGAGCCCATCTTGGCGCTTTGCGCCGTCAGTCAAAAAAATTTCAAGTTAGCAATTTGTAATATCTATCCAAAACTTCTTCAACAGTATCGAACTCATCTTCATAATGCAAACCTAATCTTATTGACTTGGTGCAGTTTTCACTAACACAATATTTTTCTGTTCTCTTGACTGACATAACTAACTCATTTGTTTCATCAAACAGCAACAACCAAAGTTCATGACCTAATACATAACATTCATACTTTATATTTTTAGCTCTGAGTTCTCTTGTAAGCTGTTGCATTTAATATTTTCTAAAAAGTCAACTTCAACGTCATTCGCACTGGTGCCTTCAGTTCTACAGGCTCTCCTTGAAAGTCAACAAGTCTGAATTGCATGTCTTTCAAATTATGAGGACTAATGCGAACCATTTACCTAAATGAGTTGCTATGACAGGAACGTTTGGAATGAACATTGAATTGACTGCATAACAGAAGGATTTATATTCTACTGAACCTTTACTATTAACTCCTGAAATGCCTGTGACATTAGCTATTTTAGACTCAATGTATAAACAATTACCATAACATACGTATGGAACAGATTTCATCTCAATCGTTTTGTCAACACTTTTCAAAGGAAATGTCATATGGTATGCACCCAAAAGAAGTTGTACTCTATGACTCATTCTTGTATCTTAAACTCTTCTCGCTGCTGAACTTCAATGTTCCCTCAGAAGAGAGTTCGACATCTATGTTGTCAATAGTTTCTTCATTTATGAGAGTATTTATGACTCCAGCAATTTTATCTATTCTATACCCAGCTCTGTTAGGAAATGTTATAACACTTCTTTTGTCATCTATTTCAATCTCTATGAAATCTGTTTCATCTGTTATGACAAAAGTTGCGATAGTATTGAAGTCAACAACTCTGAAAGCAAGCGCTTCATTCTGAAGACCTAAGTTTGTTTGTAGCTTTACTGTCCCGTATTCGTTTGGGTCTGTACTTTGCAAATAGAACAACATTTTATTCTCATTAAAATATGACTATTGCTGCATATGCGTATGAAACAAATGAAGCAAGAAGAGCACATGAACTAGTAAACGAAAACTCAACTTTAACCATTGAAGGCAATGATTTAGTCATTGACGATGGAAAACTAAAAAAGTCATTGATTTCGATACTTTTAACACTTATGACCCATTCATTACAACAAGCAAGGTTCCCATCATAAATGATGGAACGGTGCAATATATAAATTCTACAGTAGATGCCTCATTAGTGAAAGTATTAAATGTTCTCATTGAATTGTTAAAGAGCTTTCGATTTGACGACAACATTAAATGCCTAAAGAATTTAGTCATGAATGAGAAACAAATTCTCGGCGTTGCTGGTAGCAGTAATGATGTACACCTTATGACATTAGAATATTATAACGAACATAAAGATGAACTGAAAGGAGAGAAGGGTGACACCGGACCTCAAGGACCACAAGGAATACAAGGAATACAAGGAATACAAGGACCTCAAGGCGAGAACGGTTTGGATGGTGAAGATGGAAAGGATGGAAAAACTGCTAAATCATGGATATGGAACCTTATAAATACTGGTTTAACAGCTGCTTCATATGGAGTTCTTCAATACCAAATCGGAAAGATATGGGCAGTACTTAGTGAAGAAGTTTTAAATGACGTTAAAAATGCTTTGAACTTCATTTCAAATGGTTCTGATACTATTAAAACTTTATCTGGTTGGATGCAAGAAACAAGGAGTCAAATAGATACTGTAAGACGTATAGCAAACAATGCACGTACGGGATTGGATACTTTACGAGAAGCACAAAATACACTAAAGGAAGCAAATGATATTCTTGGCTCAGTATCAGACATGCATGAAGATTGGCTTAAAGGTATTGACAAATCTTTAAAAAATCACAGTCAGTCTATTGCTGACTACAAGAAAAGTATAGATTTTTTGCATAGTGCTATGGACGTACATGATGGAAGCATAAGGAACTTACTTAATGCTAACAATAACTTACCAGGAACTATTAAAGCATTTATAAAGTCCTTTGTAAAACCTGGTGCTCTAACATTTAGGTCTTTGAGAGCAAGAGCATTGAAGTCAAGAGATGCAGAAACTCCAACAGAACCTACAGAAGGAACTGAAACAACAGAAACTCCAGAAGAACCACCAAAACCAACGGCAAATGAAATATTGTTCGAATATTTTCCAAGATACTCTGTCCTCATTGCATACATTCAAGAAATACTTAAGAAAGCAGACTTGACTTTAGGAGATGATGAAAGTTCTGTATATCTTTCGTTCCAGTTTCAACTAGCAGAACTTTTGAGACAGATATGCTTAATGTATGACAACATCTCTGATTTCACAAGATATGATGACGACCATGACCCCGAACACGGTGAAGAAGAAGTTTTACAAACATCCATTAAGACAGGAAAGGTTTTAACTCAAAGTCTCATTATTGACACCAAAGATGGCGAAGTGGACGTTCTTCAAAAGCTGAAGAAAAATACTTCTTCGGGAGGTGGTGGTAGGCATGAACTTGAAATAAATGAGATAGAAGAGAAATTAGCCGAAAAAGCAGACAAAAACCATGTTCATTATATAAGTTCAGACGAACAGATTATAACGGACTACCATGGATATTTAACACGAACTGAAGAAGAAGTGAAGACGGAAGATGTTAATGAAAGAAGATATAAATTCATTCGTGCTAAAGGTTATGACATACACTGTACTGTACAATATGACACAGGTAAAGCACCAGAAGCATTTGGTTATAACGATGAAATCTATGCCTCTACTTTCAATGTTAACGGTGTATTAGTTGAACCAAGATTTACTTTGAGAGTTAAGTCAAAAATAACGTCTGAAGATGCTATTAAAAGTAAAGCTGACAAAGTTGAACTCGAAGCAATGAACAAAGTTTTGAAATCTCATAAACACAACATCTCCGATATAAATGAACTTCAAGCTACATTAGACAGTAAAGCCGACAAGAACCATACACATGAATCCTTCACTACTGTTAGAGCAGACGACATAATATTGAACTATACCCTTGGTTCAAGTGCACCTTTAGAGAATCCAAGTACAAGCGTAAAAGATACACTAAACTCCTTAAATAGTAAATGTATGAACATTGAAGGTCATGTCAGAAACTTTGAAACATATGAACTACCAGCAATGTTAGATAAGAAAGCTGACAAAGAACATACACATAAATCCTTCACTACTGTTAGAGCAGACGACATAATATTGAACTATGATTTGGGTTCAAGTGCACCTTTAGAGAATCCGAGTACAAGCGTAAAAGATACTCTTAACAATTTAGATAACAGTTGCAGGAATATCGAAGATCATGCCAGAAACTTTGAAGCATATGAACTACCAACAATGTTAGATAAGAAAGCCGACAAGAACCATACACATGAAGAATTTCAAACAATCAGGATTAAAGAAATTAAGGCATGCATTGAAGAAGTAACAAAAACAGGAAGAAACGGTGCAACTGTACATGAACAAAGAATTTATCCTCCTACTTTTCCTAATGGTTTAATAACAAACAATATAAATATTGTAGATGGCAAAAGATTTATAATTTAACATAACTCACTACACTACTGAAGACCATAACCATAACATACTCGGCATCATAAACCGCTTCATAAGAACGCTCAGAGATTTAAACCAAGAGCGAGACTTTACCGAAGAAACAATGAAACATTTTCTCGAAGTATATAATTCCTCAACACATTCTACAACAGGACATACACCAAATTCAATGACACAACAACAAGAAGAAAAGTATATACAAAAGAAACGAAGCCAAACACAAAATATCAGAAATTCAACACAATTTACCCTCATTCCTGGTACAAAGGTTCGTGTAGTTCTTGACGACAAACCGTTGACAAAGAAACGTTTAAGGTTAAGTAGAAACTATTATATCGTAGACTCTACGCAAGGTAATGGATATCTTATAAAAGCTGCCGACGACTCTATTGCGTTTTATCCTCGACATAAATTAGTCGAAAGTAGTAATGGCAAACTTGCTGAAACCATTGACGAAGCAAAGCGAGGAGTGGTTATTGAAATACTTGGCTACAACATAAACGATGACACTTATAAAGTAAGATATGAAGGAGGCGTTGAAGATGTTATACCATCTAAGAACTTGAGAGAGTCAAAGTCAACACATCTGGGACCATTAGAGCGGGAGTACTGGAAAGACAAAAATAAGCCAGAAAGAATAAGAAAATTCTTCTAAACTTTTTCATTAGATGTAAATCAGACAAAATAATTTTTAGGTGAAGAGGTGAGATCTCACCTGTTTTTTCACCTCTTTTTTCACCCTCATGAAAATTCATGAATTTCCTTAAGATAGAAAAATAAAGTTAGTTTTATTTTTATTTATTTTTTTATTTTGTGTAAAAGATATGATTTCAACAATCAGCACAACAACAATTCAAACAACTACAGCACCAAACTCGCTAGTCATGAATCCTACGTCAATGTTGGTAGAGATGAAAAGCTTTATTCCTTCTTCATATACTTTTGAAACAGAAATCCAGAAGATAAAGCAAGAACTTTTAACAAGTAATTTAGACTGTAGTGCGAAAGATGAAACAAATGAACAGTATCTTTATGAAATGGAGGACCTCATCGACCATTTGCCTAAACTACCTGAAATTCAGCAGCAAAAACTAACTATTCCTGAATTCGACGAAATTGAAGTCAAAGCAACTGACTCAGTAGAAATTAAGAAATTCATACGAAAGGTAAATTATGAATTCCTTGGTTTTCATTGCAACCATAAAGTTATGGACAAAGATTGCGACATGGTTTATAAAAATATTTCTGACCTTTACAAATCTGGGGAGTTTAAGACATACGATAACTTTGTTTCATTAGTTGCAAAATGTGTATGGCAGATAAGAGATAAAGATAGAAGAGGTAAAGTATGGAATGAACAGATAAAACCAGCAGCTTTTGAGTTAAAGAAAACCATTGACGCCTTAGTTGTTCTAGCTGGTTTTATTTCAATGTATAACGCAAAAACGATGCCGCAATGTTCAAAATGTAAAGCAGCAATAAGAAAATATAACTACTCAGTCAAAGAGATAGAAAGAATGCGAAACGACTATGCAGACTTAAAGAAAGAAGCAGAAAAGCCAGCAGAAGATAAAATGGATATGTTGACATTTCTTAATAAAAACTATCCAACAGCAGAAGATTTCCTTCTGTCTGACGTCAAGAAGAAATATAAAGAAACCTTCGGCATTGTTAAAACTTTTGATATCCTCAGCGAAGAAATAGAAGCTACGAAATTGTTTAGGATTTCAAATATACATCGTACAATTCATGTAAAACGCTTGTGAAAAAAGAGGTGAAAAAACAGGTGAGATCTCACCTCTTCACCTCAATTATATTTTTGGTCAAAGCTTCCACGAGAGAAAAGATTCCTCATTCGCTAAGGATTCCAAAAATGAAAAAATCATTGATTTCGGCTGAGAAAAAACAGCAAAACCCTTCTTCCACGGGAACAAAGAAATAAAGAAGAAATAAGGAAAAATAAAGTAAATTTTTTATTGATTCCCGTGGAAGATAGAGCACTTTTATGACACTTTTTATTCACGACAAACAAGACAAACAAAGAAAATAAGAAAATACGGCGCTGTCGCGGTTCGAACCACAGACCCTGACCCCTCCATAACACCACCTTAGACCACTGTGCTACGTAGCCTGTCGACACCACCTTAGACCACTGTGCTACGTAGCCTGTCGACATAAGATTTTATAAATTGCATATTTGACGTAAATTTATTTCCATCTGGCTTCCCACCGCATAAGATATTCATACGTGTTTGTAAGACATTCATTAAACTTCTTTTCTATTGCATCTAATCTTGCGTTATTTTTTTCAATAACTTGTCTGTATTCTTCATCATTGTTAACCAATTTTTTATCTACAAATTTTATTAGTGTTTGATTCACTTCGTTATGATAACGGTCATATTCTTTCAATACGTAAGTGAAGACAAAATGCGTCGTACCTTCAATCTTAAAGCTTAAAGAACTTTCAACACAGTTTTGAGGGTCTGTCAGTGCGTCAATGAGATAGTATTCGAAGTCAGTCAATAATCTTTTTAAAGTCATTTCATACAGGATAAAATTTAATGTTGTGAAGAAATAGTGTTTATCTCAGAAAAAATAACGCTAATTTTATTTTTATTTATTTTTTTATTTTGTATGTAAAGACAGTAATGTCAACATTAGAGAACACAACAATTGCTATAGTCCATGAAGCTATAAATGAAGAATACGAGTACATACAGTATAACAAACAGTTACGTCTCATTCGTTCAGTCAAAGATGACATGTACCAAATGCAAAGTATAATGAATGCTCTTCGTTCTACAAAGCAAGCATATCATTGGTTTGAAAACCAACAGACAAAAGAACTTTTAGAAGAATTTCCTCATATGATTGCTTCCCTCGGAAAACCGAGAGAAGAGATTCCGTACGAAAATCGCAAGAATTTGGCTCCTGGTTTGAAAGGTTATTATGTTCATAGACTTTTAGTAAACGCTGTAGCAATGTGTGGCTTCACCTCGTTATGCTTGTTATATTTCATGATGTTAGATGAACTATATAAAGCAGAACGCGGAGAGATGGAAAAGAAACTTCAAGCAAAAGATGAAGTCATTGAATCCAAAGACAAAAGCATACAGAAAAGAATACCGCGTTCGGTACCAAAAGGAAAGGAAAAGAGTTATAAGTATATGATAATATACTGAAGAGTTGGAGAAAGAAGAAGATAAAGATGTGGTTATGTTGCATTTAGTCAGAAGAAACAACAAGAGCTTTTATGACTTAGCTAAAAATATAAATCTGACAGAAACTGGTTCTATCGTGAAAACTTACCGATTTCAATGACACCGAATGAGCAAATAAAGGAAATTGTCAAAAATACTCTTCCTCAAACACACTATGACATCAAAGGTTGCACAATACTTACATTCAAAGAAGACTTAACATTACTGAAGGAAAAAATAACAGAATATTTTGATAACTTCAAAGAGGAAGAATAAAAAAATCTAAGCTAATTTTATTTTTTTATAAAATTTTATCTCATATGAAAGAACATGAATTTAGAATATTCGGAACTCATGACAGAAGAAGAGAACGAACAACATCTAAAAGATTATGCAAAATTTCTGAAGACATACAAAGCATTTAAACAATATCTAAATGCTTCTAAAGATTATGCAAAATTTCTGAAGGTATATAAAGCTTATGAAAAAGCGTATGAAAAGTTTATACATTGGGGAATTGTTGTAAAATATCGATATGAAGACTAACCAAAAATATATTTTTGCTTAAATAGCTTCAGGGTCTATTTCTTCAACCATTTCACTTCCTTCGTCAATGTCAATAGAAGCTTCTTCAACCTTTGGTAAGAATTTCTGTATAACATCTTTGTTCGTTATTGTCTTCAGAGATGAAGGATAATATTTCACAGATTTTTCACCCTTCTTATATTCTTTCTGTTCGGAAAGATTTAAAGCAATACTGAAGAAGTCAATATTAGAGTTCTTTATAACAGTATAATGAGTATCTTTGACATTCACGAAGAAACTCTTTTGTTTCAAAACTACTGCTAACTCTTGTGAAGTATAACGTTTGCGGTCAATGACGATAGCTAATGGTCTGACATACTGACCAAACTTAGATTCTTTCACAAACTTCTTGTTAAAGATAACATTAACATTTGAAGCATTATTGAACTCATTCTTGATGGCAGTAGCGAGAGCATTGTATGAAAAGAACTTGCAATCTTGCATGTGTTTCATTAAAATAAAAATATTAAATTATTTTGAAAAATAACTTAAAAAAATCTAATCTAATTTTTTCAAAAAATATTTTTTTTATTTCCTACTAAAGATGTATCGGAAGTTGTCTAAGTTAGAACACTCGGAAATAAAACAACTTCTAACAGAAGCTAACATAGAAGTAGCAAAGCATTACGCAACAAACAAAAAAGCACTCGCTGACATCCTCAATGACTATAATGGTGCAATAAGTTATGATAGAATTCATGAGTTCATAAAGCCGCAACGCGGCGAGGACGAAGTCCATGCAAGAGCATTTCCTTTAAATGACGTTGCTATTGACTTATATCATAGACGTTCAGTACCTCATGAAGTAAGAAGAGAAATGTTTGACATAACAAATGCAAACGTTGGTGAAACAAGAAGAAGAGACGACACACTGAAACAACAGAGAAGAGAGATGTTTAAGAGCGCTATAGAACAAGTTCGCAAAGCTAACGATGTCATTCGTTCCATTGACGACAAACCAAAAGAAGGTGAGAGATGGTTAAAGAAAGATGAAGAGAATAGGAAGAGAAATGTGAAGTCAGGCAATAGACTCATTGACTTTAACATCGAAGCTTTAGATGAACCAAACAGAGACTACTTACACAAACATTTCGGTAAGGTTTTCATGAGACTCTTAGAGAAAATTAAAATAAACTCACAACAGAGATGGATGGTATGGTATAAACTTGGTGGAAAGTATGAATGTTCTACGTTAAACCTCAATAATATTGGAACATTACTACATCAGCTCTTGAAGGAGAACTTTATATCAGAGATAGAAGCAAATGCTGCAGGTATTGTTGAAATGCACTATGACTTCTTCTTGACAAACATAAAGAATCTTACTGAAATAAAGATGTATGATTTAACAGAATATGAAGGCTTAACGATGTCAGATGTAAAGAAAGGCAAACCAAAAAAGAGACCATATAAAGATGAAAGCACACTGACAAATGACCAGAAAGCCATTTTGGAAGCTCTTAAGCAAACAGGAAACCCAGCACTTATAGAAAGCTTTTGGAAAGATAATGGTGAAAAGAAGTTTTATAAGAAGAGAAGCGGTCAGTTCTGGAAGTATCTTTGCACATTACCTATAAATCTTGAACGCTACCAAATCTTCAATGAACTGAACAAAAGAACTGCAACACTTATGACAGAAGATAACTGCTTCGTTTATGCTTGCATTCAGGCTGGAGTAGATGGAGAGACTATTGACCACATTAGAGAAGTCATTCGTGTTAGAGACTTTCCTCAAAGTAAAGTACAAGAAATTTCTGATGCAACAGGTATAGCATTTAATGTTACCATTGGTTACTTCAATGACTCAAGACATAATGAAATAAAGAGATACATACCAAAAGAATGTGAAACTGTTCGAAGTATTGACTTACTTCTTGTTGAAGACCATTACATGTTAAATGAAAGATTACCTATAACAACATATTTCATTCGAAACTATAAAGAAATTCTCAAAGCTTGTGGTGGAATGAACATTGAGAAACAGATGAAGATTTATACAAAGAGAGAAGATAAATATGTAGTTCGTTATGATAGAACAACACCGTTATGGGATGTTATGAAAACATTGTGGGAGTGCAAATATTTCGAACCTATTTCTTATGGAGAACTTTTCACATATACGACTGACTTATATAAACAGAACCTTGCACCATTTAAAGATTTGACATATGCTCCAAAGTATTGTGTACAACTGAAGAAGAAAGCCGAGTCAAAAGAAGTAAATAAAAATAAGTGCAAGTTCATTCCTGAGCACGTTTTCTTTGCTGACTTTGAGTGCAGTACCGATGGCTTTCATAAAGCTTTTAACATATGTTACGACAGTGAAGATGGTTCAGTGAGTGAAAGCATTTGGGGTCAGAACTGTGCAACAGAATTTTTGGAGCGACTTCCTGACAAGAGTTTAATATATTTCCATAACCTCAGTTATGATATAAACTTCATCTTAAGACACATGACAGAAGTGAAAGGAACTCCCATCATTAAAGGTTCACGAACAATGCAAATAACTGGCTTATATAAAGGAAGGGCAATTATTATAAAAGACTCTTACAGTGTTATAAATAAGAAGCTTAAACTATTTCCTGCTATGTTTAACTTACAAACAGGACCGAAAGAAGTATTTCCATATAACTACTACAGCAGTGTTTTGTTAGCAAATGACAACAGAACTGGTGTCATTTCTGAAGCATGTAAGTTTATCCGGGATGCAGATACATTCATGAAAAACATAGATTCCATCAAAGGTTGCAGAATAGATGAAAACCACTTCGACTTAGAAAAGTATAGTACATTTTATTCCAAACAAGATGTAAGAATTTTAAGAGAAGGTTTTGTTAAGTTCCGCAATGACATATTGAAAGAATTTGATTTAAACGTTTATGACTACGTTAGTATTTGTTCAATTGCTAACAAATTATTTGAGAACAGAGTGTACTTCCCGAATGGAAATTTATATGACCTCTCAAATAAACCAAGAGAATTTATTTCGAGATGCATTCAAGGTGGAAGATGTATGTTGTCAGATAACATTAAACAAAAGAGTAAAGAGAAACTCATTGCTGATTTCGACGCTGTTTCATTATATCCATCCGCTATAGCAAGACTTTATACTTTAGAAGGTATTCCAAAGGTTATGAAGAAAGAAATGTTAAGCACAGAGTATCTCATGAGACATTTATTCGATGACGACCAAAAGGAACCCATTGGTGAAAAGTTTGTGTCTGGCTTCTTTGTTCTCATTAAGATAACAGAGATTGGAATACATAGACACTTTCCTTTAATAGTTTGTGACCCTGAACTAAATCCAGAACTTAACGTTCCCAGAAGTTCAAACACTTGCTGTTTAATGTATGTTGACCATATAACATTACAAGACCTCATAAAATATCAAGGTGTCAAATGTGAAGTGTTGCAAGGATACTATTACGATGGAAACAGAGATATTAGAATAAGAGATGAAGTAAAGAAGTTGTTTGAGTTAAGGTTAAAGTATAAGAAAGAAGGAAATCCTTTGCAAGAAAATATAAAGCTCATTCTGAACAGTATTTATGGCAAAACTATTCTATCTCCTATTGAGTCAAAAATAACCATAGTAAATGACAAAGATGCTATAAGATATGTCATCAGAAACTACAACCATATAGTGAAGTTCGAAGGTTTGGATGGTTCGGATAAAACTATTTTCAAGCTAACGAAAAGCATTTGCAGACACTTTAACTTCTGTCCACTTGGTGTTAATATTCTGTCTATGTCGAAGAGAATAATGTGTGAAGTATTCTGTACTGCTGAAGATATGGGTCTTCAAATATTTTACCAGGACTGCGATAGCATGCATATTTTCAATGAAGACATACCAAAGCTTGCAGCAGAGTTTAAGAAGAGATACGGTAGAGAACTTATTGGTAAAACATTAGGTCAGTTCCATTCTGACTTCGCAGAAATAACACCTGGAAAACAAAGTTTAGCATACAAGTCAATATTTTGTGGAAAGAAGACTTACATAGACTTACTCACGAATGATTTAAATGAAGTTGCATTCCATGCACGTTGCAAAGGTGTCAAACAAGACGTTCTTGCTTTAACAGCTAATGAAATGTTTCCTGAAGCTATACAATGCTATTACAATGAAGATAAGAACATTCACATACCTGTTGGAACATATGACAAAGACTCTGAGTTCAGTTTAATGAAACTTTACAAAGCACTTTATGACGGTCAAGAGATTGGATTTGACTTATGTAAGTCTTCTAGTCCTTGCTTTGCTGAAAAGTTTAACTTCTCAATAACGACTAAAACAAGCTTTATTCGTAAGTTGAAGTTCTGAGGTCATTTATTTTTGTCAGCAGTGAGACCATTCATGATAAAAATAAAACTAGCGTAGATTTTACAATACTGCGATGGTAGAGTTTAAGAGTTGTGCTTCAATGTAGAGACAGTCCTTATGGTCTGGAGGTAAGAACACTGGGCAGTTATGGTCATGAGTGGAGAACATGTCTATCCAAAACTCACGATTGAAGCCAGTTAATTTATAGTATTTAGGGTTAGGAAGTGGTGAAGTTCTTGTATGACCAATGAACTTATTTTCAACTCCCTTACTTAAGTTTGAATATAATATAGCTTGCTTTCTATCCCAAATGCCAGGTGTTACAATCTTTGAAAATTCATTTTTCCTCGGATGCATTGCATCATAATTGAAAACATTTTTGAAATCATCACTTGGTTCAGAGATTTGAAATCTTATACGTAATGGATTTTCTTTCTCTTTAGCGACTTCATTGAATGGTGAGAATACAACAAACTGACAGTCATGTGTTCCATCTTCATTTTCATTAAATTCATAATGAAAGTCTATAAGTTGTGGCTGACTACCTTCTTCTTTCAGTTGTGCAAGAAACTCATGTAAAGGCTGTAAAGTTTGTACTTCAATGTTGAACTTTTTCTCGAACATCTCATTAAATGAAATCATACATTGTTGCAATGTTGTATCGTCTTTAAAGTATTTGTATATGTGAATGTTTTGGGCGCTTAAAGACTGTTCGTCATTTTCTATCTCGACTTGAAGTATAAAGTCAACCTTTCTGAAAGCACGTGTTATATACATATTTGTTATGCCAATGTACTTCTCTTCATTTATGTTCACAATCCAGTCTGTTGGAAACTTAAACGTTACTCTGTTCCCCTTTATTTTGACGTCAGGGTTTTCACTACTGAACGCAACAGATAAAGGTATTTGTCTATACATTTAGTTCCGATAAAAATAAACCATTTACTCTTTCTTTGCTTCAGCTTCTTTAGCTTTTGCTTCAGCTTCTTCTCTAGCTTTTTTTGCCAGTAGTCTTGGGTTCTTTTGTCTTCCAGCAGCTAATGCAGCAAGTTGTTTTTCACTAAGTTTTCTCTTTGGTCTCTCTGGCTTTTGTTCTTGTTTTTGTTCCTTCAGTTCGGATAAAATTTGCTCACGAATTTCTTTCTTCAATGCTTCAACATCTATGACCCCTTGGGTCTTGTCCGTAGGGCTTGTCTGAGTCATTTGACTGCAGATAAAAAAAAAAATTAAAACTTTAACCGATGTAAAATGAGCTTGTCAAAATCAGAGCGAGAGTCTATTATATTAAATGACGCAAGAGGAATACAACATCCTTTCTATTACGTAAGTCAGAGTAAAGATGGTAAAATATACGTAAGAAAAAGAAAGGTTCCATTAGCGAATGCAGAAAGCGACAACATTAAGGTGTATGGCAAGGGTGAAGTCCATATAAAACCTTCTGTTCAAACTGAGCCACCAAAAGAACAAGAAGAAAAGAAGCCAGATGTACTTTCAATAACTAACCAAGAGCTTATTGCAAAGTTCGTGAATTTCATTGAAAAACAAACCGAGTCAAAGAACCCTGACCCGCCAGTGAAGAAGTTGAGACAAAAGAGAATGTACAGTTCATTGAAAATGTCAAGAAACAACTTCCACCACGAATGCAAGAAGAAGAGTGAGAATAATGAAGTAAATAGATATTTTTATCTGAAGTAAATACATGCAGAATGAACAGCTAAATGAATTTACTCCAGCAGAGCATATTCATCAGATTCGCTCATATTTCGATATCATAGACAATGCAGTTCAAATTGGTGACACTAATAGAAAATATTCTGACGCAAAGATTCCATCACAACCTGGAACTGCTAAAGATAACACATGGGTAACATTCAATCTCTCACCTCCTGGTGAAAATATGTTGGACCTTTACAATACATTCATTACGTATAAAATGGAAGGTAAATTTATTGCAGATAAAGAAATTGGTTCAGGTTCCAATAAAACAAACCCACCAGGATTTTGGATTGGTTTCGATGACGCTTTCTATGCAGTTGCTGGATATCAAATCCTTGCAAATGGTCGTATTGTATATTCTCAAGAACGCAAGAGAAGAAGCATATATAACTTCAAACTCACAAACTACCGAACAAATAAAGAAAGTAGATGTTTTCTCAAAGACTCGACATGAAGATGTATGGAGTCATTCGGGAACATGCAGAACAGGACAAATTGTTAGTGGTCCAATTACAGCAGGAAAATCATTTGATTTTAAGCTTCGTTTAAGAATTCCTGTTAGAAGATTCCTTCCATTAGAAGCTATTCGATTTATTCCAGCTTTTGCAGGAAACATTCAGCTTAAAGTAAAGTTCAGTAGCGACGCCTTACAATGCACATCTATATCTGTAAATGATATCATTGCTTTCATCCAACTCTTAAAGTTGCATTTGCTTCAGATTCAAATCCACCGACAAATAAATTTGTTCCATGGAATGAACCATTCACTATGATAACGAAGGCAGTAGAAGCTAGTGGAACAGTTACTATACAACTGTAACCAGCAACTATTTCGAACAAAGATGGATTTTAATGAATGTTTCATTCATCCAAAGTCATTCTCTTTAGACCCTAACATTTATACAGAACTTGTAGAACATTATACAAACGAGGCTTTATGTTTTCCTGTTAAAGTTATGGATTGGATTCCTATGGACGGTTCATTCTCAAAGAATACAGATAGTTCAAGTGCAACATTTACAGCAGCTTATACGCCTATTAATGTTAAAAGTATTTGGGCACTATTTAGAAAGAAAGACAACTATTATGTTAATTTTGAGAACCCTAAGTTTAAATATCTTCAGCTTTCCATGGGAGCTTATGGAAATATGCCTGCAGAACCTGAAAAATCATATGACCTGTATTTTATGAAATGGTTGCGAACGCTTGCAATACAAACAATGATATGATAGGATTTAATGAAGATGTTATGAGGTCATTGGTGGATGATGATAGTGTGGAACATAAATGGATAGCTATGACAACACACATTTCTTATGTGGTTTTCCAACAGAAGTGGACTTTTGCTTCCAGCAAGGTCAAACATCTACTGCTCCAATAACATACAAATTGTCTGTTAAAGGACCTATTGAACTAGCAACTGAAAACGTACCAAAGCCACTTATTGGATTTATGAGGGATTGTTGCTTTGCCATTCAGGTGCGTGCTAATGGAATCCCATAATAAGATTAGATGACTATAACTTAGCCGCGGACGACAGTGAGGAATAAAGGATGAACGTTTATTTTTAAAGCTTATAAATGAGTTCTTCATCAAGCTCTCGCGAACCTTCACCATCTATGAAACAAACTTTACCAAACGATTATGGAGCACCTATTGAATATTTCTTACGAGCTGCACAATGGCAAAGAGCAGTCTCACCAAGGTTAGGTGTTCCACCAGCTCCTGTCAAAATAGCATTTGGTCAAGTCCTTATATAAAATATGGTCTCCCACTAGGTTTGCTAGCTACAGCAGGAGCAGTTATGATGTTGAAAAGAAATAAAGCAAATGTTGTAAATAATACTGAAGTAGCTGAAGTTAAACAAACTCCAACACCTTCGCCAAAACCAACGCCTTCACAAGCAAAACCTTCAATGACTCCTGAACCTATGGAAGTACAAACTCCTGTTCAAAAGTCAACTCCTAAACCGACTCCAACATTTAAACCAGAACCTACTCCTCAAATAAATCGTAAAACTCCTGCGTTTCCTTACTGAAAAAATAACGTTATTTTTATTTAATATTAAAATTTTTATTTGATTGAAATGACAAATAAAGTCACTGAAGCAATGAAACAAAAGTTTTTGGTAGAATACATTAAATCAGGAACTATTCCAGAAGGTTTTTACATTCATACTATGAAGGATGGTAGAGTTCAGTTTAGAAAGATAAAGCAACCATTAGATAGAGAAGGAATTTTGAGAAAGATTAAACTTCATGAGGACAACATTGCTGAACTTAAGAAGAAGCTAGAAGAGTTGGAGAAAGGAAGAGAGTTATAAAGCAATGAATTCAACAGGGTGAAAAAACAGCTGAAAAAAGAGGTGAGATCTCACCACTTCACCTAAATTTATTTTTGTGCTATGTTTTCATACGTGTGAGGGTGGTGATATCATTAATTTTTAAGTTTATTTTTTATTTTATTTTTATATAAATGACAGAACAAAAGCAACTCATACAAATCGAAAAATATAACAAACATACATTTAAACATTTATTCTTCCTTCCTGAGCATAACTTGTTTTTTACACTTCATCCTAGACCAGTTGACTATACATTGACTGTGTATAAAGATTGTCATGGTAGTTTTATAAAAACTTATGATGATGAAGGTAAGTTAACAAGACTATGCATTTCAAAACTTGAGAAACTTTATGACTTCAAGTATGACTACAATAGAGTTAACATTGACAATGAAGATATAGAAGAAAATTTATGAGAACGTTTATTTTTTCATTAGTGAGTTCGTTAGCGAAGTCGTTAGTGAGGTGAAATGGTTGGCGGTTTTGTAAATATTTAAGGTTAAGTTAGTGTTGTCGTTTGTGTTGTAAAATATACGTTAGCGGTTTCGTAAAGTGTCAAATTCACATATAATGGGTAAGTAGGTGCGCAGTGCCTCCGTACACGACTAACCCATACTAACTATGATTTCTCACATCTCACTCAAGTCTCATTACTTACCCTATCTTTTTAACCTTTTCTGATAATTACTGAAATAACTAAATCCTTTTTTTAGTTTAATTCTGATATTAAATTTTTAAAATCTCTTTAATTTTTTGAACTACACCTTTAATTTGTAATTGCCGATTTCACAGATTTGAACCATTTAATAAAATAACATTATTCAACTTAATCATATCAAACATGGTAGTTTGATTTTCAGATCTACATTTTAAAAACCTCTTTATTATCTTGAGTTATACTTTTATTATATAATACCTGAGTTCATAACTGAAAACTCTTAATTAGAGTACAATATTCAACTTAATCATAACAAGATTTGTTGAATTTCAAATTTGATTTATATCTTCCATCACTTAAAACTCTCACAGCTTACAATATAAGCTAAAAAGTATATTTTCATAGTAATAAAATTAATTATTAAATTTTTTACTTTTTCCTTTCCAAAACTAGAAAAAAAGGAAGGGAAAAGTGAAAAAGAAGAAAGAAAAGAGAAAAAGAAAAAAAAGAAGAGAAAAGAAGAAAAAATAATAATGAGCATATTATATAATTGTGGTCATAGGCCGAGTGGCGTGGAAAGGGTGGAGCCCGAAGGGCGACATCCTTTCCACGCCACGAGGCCCGATTTTTGGCCACTTTTTTGATTTTGGCCGCGTGCCAGCTCCTGGCAGGCGGCCCGCAAAATTGTGCCAGTTTGTACAACCCTATCTCAAAATTTCATATTTATGAACTATAATAGAGCAAAACATGAATTATCATGTCAATGCGGCGCTCATTATACAGTTTACTATGACAAAACGCTCAAATGTTACAAAATACGAGTTGATAAATCTCATTCGGATTGTATGGAATCAACAACCATCCCCACAATAGTATTAGATTATCTTATTGAATCAAATAATGACTCATTTATCAGTAATAATTTTACAAATTTTCATCGTATCGTTCAAAAACAATTCAAAAGGGAAATAGGAGAAGATACTTTTCGAAAACGTGTAAAAGCAATTTTTCATATTACAGATTCTGATTTAGTGAATAGTTTCAAAAAACTAATTTCATTGAATAATCATATTGTTGAATCAGGAGGTTGTTCCATTATTTCTACAGGTGAAAAAAATGATAAAAATGAGTATATTTACAAAATTAACGAATTAATTGAAGATCCAAACTTTATAATAAATGTATTTCAATTTTACCACCGGTATCAGAATTGTTTCTTAAATCAGAAAGATTTAACAATATTCTTCTTGTGGATGCCACTAGAACCAATACAAACTGTGCGGGTAAAATGGGGGTAATTGCCACTACATCTCCAACCAGACGAGCTATTCCGATAGCATATGGTTGGTCTGTGGAAGAAGATCTTCCACTAATGTCTAGTTTATTTAAGACAATTCTCAATAAAATCACCAAAAATGACATTTCAATTATCTTGAGTGACGGCGGAACAGCTATTAAAGGGGCATTAATTGAAAATGGATTGATTCAAAAACAACGGAGGTGCATTTTTCACCTTTTCGAAGATGTGAAATATTCGAAATGTATAAAAATAATATGGTCTTTGAATTTGGCTATAAACTCTGTTGATTATACAAACAAATTAAATGACATCAAAAAATCAATAACAGAAAATTATCCAAATTATTCGGAAACAAAAATTGATAAATTTATTAAAAAATTAAAAGACGCAAATCCCTTTAAGTTCAATTCATTTGACCAAGGATTGCAAGCTACTTCTGTTTTGGAAGCCTTAAATGAGGAATTCCAAAAAAGAAAAATTTTCGATATTATTGAAGCTTTTGCCTGGTTTACAGATGCAACAGTCAAATATGGAGTTGAGGCATTGAAAGTTAGTTAGTAAACATATCAAGGGTACGGAGGCACTGCGCGTCTCCTTACCCATTATATGTGAATTTGACACTTTACGAAACCGTTAACGTATATTTTACAACACAAACGACAACACTAACTTAACCTTAAATATTTACAAACCGCCACCCACTTCACCTCACTACTGTAAAAAAATAAACGTTCTCACTTACAAAAGTATTGCAACTCCTCCCATTGCTGTGCTTCACACAACAGTTCATATTCTTCTGACTCACTTTCTTCTTCATATAGGTCAAAATCACTGTCAAAATAAATGTTAGTAAGTTTTGACAAAGCTAATGAAACACGCTTACCGTTTGTATCGTATGCTTGTATAAACTTTCCATTATGCTTGTAGTCATAAACGCTCAAACTAACTTTACCTTTTCTCCCTCGTATCTGATAGAATGTATTTTCACGAGGAACGAAGAACAAATTCTTGAACTCATGACCGTTGTAGTTTGTTATCTCAATAGTTTTCGTCATTTATATAAAATTAAAATAAAAAATAAAATAAAAAAATAAACTTAAAAATAAATAATATCACCACCCTCACACGTATGAAAACATAGCACAAAAATAAACTTAGGGTAGAAGGTTAGATCTAACCCGATTTCTAACCTCTTTTCTACCCTGTTGAATTCATTGCTTTATAACTCTCTTCCTTTCTCCAACTCTTCTAGCTTCTTCTTAAGTTCAGCAATGTTGTCCTCATGAAGTTTAATCTTTCTCAAAATTCCTTCTCTATCTAATGGTTGCTTTATCTTTCTAAACTGAACTCTACCATCCTTCATAGTATGAATGTAAAAACCTTCTGGAATAGTTCCTGATTTAATGTATTCTACCAAAAACTTTTGTTTCATTGCTTCAGTGACTTTATTTGTCATTTCAATCAAATAAAAATTTTAATATTAAATAAAAATAACGTTATTTTTTCAGTAAGGAAACGCAGGAGTTTTACGATTTATTTGAGGAGTAGGTTCTGGTTTAAATGTTGGAGTCGGTTTAGGAGTTGACTTTTGAACAGGAGTTTGTACTTCCATAGGTTCAGGAGTCATTGAAGGTTTTGCTTGTGAAGGCGTTGGTTTTGGCGAAGGTGTTGGAGTTTGTTTAACTTCAGCTACTTCAGTATTATTTACAACATTTGCTTTATTTCTTTTCAACATCATAACTGCTCCTGCTGTAGCTAGCAAACCTAGTGGGAGACCATATTTTATATAAGGACTTGACCAAATGCTATTTTTGACAGGAGCTGGTGGAACACCTAACCTTGGTGAGACTGCTCTTTGCCATTGTGCAGCTCGTAAGAAATATTCAATAGGTGCTCCATAATCGTTTGGTAAAGTTTGTTTCATAGATGGTGAAGGTTCGCGAGAGCTTGATGAAGAACTCATTTATAAGCTTTAAAAATAAACGTTCATCCTTTATTCCTCACTGTCGTCCGCGGCTAAGTTATAGTCATCTAATCTTATTATGGGGATTCCATTAGCACGCACCTGAATGGCAAAGCAACAATCCCTCATAAATCCAATAAGTGGCTTTGGTACGTTTTCAGTTGCTAGTTCAATAGGTCCTTTAACAGACAATTTGTATGTTATTGGAGCAGTAGATGTTTGACCTTGCTGGAAGCAAAAGTCCACTTCTGTTGGAAAACCACATAAGAAATGTGTGTTGTCATAGCTATCCCATTTATGTTCCACACTATCATCATCCACCAATGACCTCATAACATCTTCATTAAATCCTATCATATCATTGTTTGTATTGCAAGCGTTCGCAACCATTTCATAAAATACAGGTCCATATGATTTTTCAGGTTCTGCAGGCATATTTCCATAAGCTCCCATGGAAAGCTGAAGATATTTAAACTTAGGGTTCTCAAAATTAACATAATAGTTGTCTTTCTTTCTAAATAGTGCCCAAATACTTTTAACATTAATAGGCGTATAAGCTGCTGTAAATGTTGCACTTGAACTATCTGTATTCTTTGAGAATGAACCGTCCATAGGAATCCAATCCATAACTTTAACAGGAAAACATAAAGCCTCGTTTGTATAATGTTCTACAAGTTCTGTATAAATGTTAGGGTCTAAAGAGAATGACTTTGGATGAATGAAACATTCATTAAAATCCATCTTTGTTCGAAATAGTTGCTGGGTTACAGTTGTAATAGTAACTGTTCCACTAGCTTCTACTGCCTTCGTTATCATAGTGAATGGTTCATTCCATGGAACAAATTTATTTGTCGGTGGATTTGAATCTGAAGCAAATGCAACTTTAAGAGTTGGATTGAAAGCAATGATATCATTTACAGATATAGATGTGCATTGTAAGGCGTCGCTACTGAACTTTACTTTAAGCTGAATGTTTCCTGCAAAAGCTGGAATAAATCGAATAGCTTCTAATGGAAGGAATCTTCTAACAGGAATTCTTAAACGAAGCTTAAAATCAAATGATTTTCCTGCTGTAATTGGACCACTAACAATTTGTCCTGTTCTGCATGTTCCCGAATGACTCCATACATCTTCATGTCGAGTCTTTGAGAAAACATCTACTTTCTTTATTTGTTCGGTAGTTTGTGAGTTTGAAGTTATATATGCTTCTTCTCTTGCGTTGTCTTGAGAATATACGATACGACCATTTGCAAGGATTTGATATCCAGCAACTGCATAGAAAGTGTCATCGAAACCAATCCAAAATCCTGGTGGGTTTGTTTTATTGGAACCTGAACCAATTTCTTTATCTGCAATAAATTTACCTTCCATTTTATACGTAATGAATGTATTGTAAAGGTCCAACATATTTTCACCAGGAGGTGAGAGATTGAATGTTACCCATGTGTTATCTTTAGCAGTTCCAGGTTGTGATGGAATCTTTGCGTCAGAATATTTTCTATTAGTGTCACCAATTTGAACTGCATTGTCTATGATATCGAAATATGAGCGAATCTGATGAATATGCTCTGCTGGAGTAAATTCATTTAGCTGTTCATTCTGCATGTATTTACTTCAGATAAAAATATCTATTTACTTCATTATTCTCACTCTTCTTCTTGGCATTCGTGGTGGAAGTTGTTTCTTGACATTTTCAATGAACTGTACATTCTCTTTTGTCTCAACTTCTTTCACTGGCGGGTCAGGGTTCTTTGACTCGGTTTGTTTTTCAATGAAATTCACGAACTTTGCAATAAGCTCTTGGTTAGTTATTGAAAGTACATCTGGCTTCTTTTCTTCTTGTTCTTTTGGTGGCTCAGTTTGAACAGAAGGTTTTATATGGACTTCACCCTTGCCATACACCTTAATGTTGTCGCTTTCTGCATTCGCTAATGGAACCTTTCTTTTTCTTACGTATATTTTACCATCTTTACTCTGACTTACGTAATAGAAAGGATGTTGTATTCCTCTTGCGTCATTTAATATAATAGACTCTCGCTCTGATTTTGACAAGCTCATTTTACATCGGTTAAAGTTTTAATTTTGTTTTTTATCTGCAGTCAAATGACTCAGACAAGCCCTACGGACAAGACCCAAGGGGTCATAGATGTTGAAGCATTGAAGAAAGAAATTCGTGAGCAAATTTTATCCGAACTGAAGGAACAAAAACAAGAACAAAAGCCAGAGAGACCAAAGAGAAAACTTAGTGAAAAACAACTTGCTGCATTAGCTGCTGGAAGACAAAAGAACCCAAGACTACTGGCAAAAAAAGCTAGAGAAGAAGCTGAAGCAAAAGCTAAAGAAGCTGAAGCAAAGAAAGAGTAAATGGTTTATTTTTATCGGAACTAAATGTATAGACAAATACCTTTATCTGTTGCGTTCAGTAGTGAAAACCCTGACGTCAAAATAAAGGGGAACAGAGTAACGTTTAAGTTTCCAACAGACTGGATTGTGAACATAAATGAAAGAGAAGTACATTGGCATAACAAATATGTATATAACACGTGCTTTCAGAAAGGTTGACTTTATACTTCAAGTCGAGATAGAAAATGACGAACAGTCTTTAAGCGCCCAAAACATTCACATATACAAATACTTTAAAGACGATACAACATTGCAACAATGTATGATTTCATTTAATGAGATGTTCGAGAAAAAGTTCAACATTGAAGTACAAACTTTACAGCCTTTACGTGAGTTTCTTGCACAACTGAAAGAAGAAGGTAGTCAGCCACAACTTATAGACTTTCATTATGAATTTAATGAAAATGAAGATGGAACACATGACTGTCAGTTTGTTATATATTCACCATTCAATGAAGTAGCTAAAAAGAAAGAAAATCCATTACGTATAAGATTTCAAATCTCTGAACCCAATGAAGATTTCAAGAATGTTTTCAATTATGATGCAATGCTTCCGAGGAAAAATGAATTTTCAAAGATTGTAACACCTGGCATTTGGGATAGAAAGCAAGCTATATTATATTCAAACTTAAGTAAGGGAGTTGAAAATGAGTTCATTGGTCATACAAGAACTTCACCACTTCCTAACCCTAAATACTATAAATTAACTGGCTTCAATCGTGAGTTTTGGATAGACATGTTCTCCACTCATGACCATAACTGCCCAGTGTTCTTACCTCCAGACCATAAAGACTGTCTCTACATTGAAGCACAACTCTTAAACTCTACCATCGCAGTATTGTAAATGACCACATGGGCTTCGCCCTTGCCGCTAGTTTTATTTTTATCACGAATGACCTCATTGCTGACAAAAATAAATGACCTCAGAACTTCAACTTACGAATAAAGCTTGTTTTAGTCGTTATTGAGAAGTTAAACTTCTCTTCAAATGCAGGTGTAGCAGACTTACATAAGTCAAATCCAATCTCTTGACCATCATAAAGTGCTTTGTAAAGTTTCATTAAACTGAACTCAGAGTCTTTGTCATATGTTCCAACAGGTATGTGAATGTTCTTATCTTCATTGTAATAGCATTGTATAGCTTCAGGAAACATTTCATTTGCTGTTAAAGCAAGGACGTCTTGTTTGACACCTTTGCAACGTGCATGGAATGCAACTTCATTTAAATCGTTAGTGAGTAAGTCTATGTAAGTCTTCTTTCCACAAAATATTGACTTGTATGCTAAACTTTGTTTTCCAGGTGTTATTTCTGCGAAATCAGAATGAAATTGACCTAATGTTTTACCAATAAGTTCTCTACCGTATCTCTTCTTAAACTCTGCTGCAAGCTTTGGTATGTCTTCATTGAAAATATGCATGCTATCACAGTCCTGGTAAAATATTTGAAGACCCATATCTTCAGCAGTACAGAATACTTCACACATTATTCTCTTCGACATAGACAGAATATTAACACCAAGTGGACAGAAGTTAAAGTGTCTGCAAATGCTTTTCGTTAGCTTGAAAATAGTTTTATCCGAACCATCCAAACCTTCGAACTTCACTATATGGTTGTAGTTTCTGATGACATATCTTATAGCATCTTTGTCATTTACTATGGTTATTTTTGACTCAATAGGAGATAGAATAGTTTTGCCATAAATACTGTTCAGAATGAGCTTTATATTTTCTTGCAAAGGATTTCCTTCTTTCTTATACTTTAACCTTAACTCAAACAACTTCTTTACTTCATCTCTTATTCTAATATCTCTGTTTCCATCGTAATAGTATCCTTGCAACACTTCACATTTGACACCTTGATATTTTATGAGGTCTTGTAATGTTATATGGTCAACATACATTAAACAGCAAGTGTTTGAACTTCTGGGAACGTTAAGTTCTGGATTTAGTTCAGGGTCACAAACTATTAAAGGAAAGTGTCTATGTATTCCAATCTCTGTTATCTTAATGAGAACAAAGAAGCCAGACACAAACTTTTCACCAATGGGTTCCTTTTGGTCGTCATCGAATAAATGTCTCATGAGATACTCTGTGCTTAACATTTCTTTCTTCATAACCTTTGGAATACCTTCTAAAGTATAAAGTCTTGCTATAGCGGATGGATATAATGAAACAGCGTCGAAATCAGCAATGAGTTTCTCTTTACTCTTTTGTTTAATGTTATCTGACAACATACATCTTCCACCTTGAATGCATCTCGAAATAAATTCTCTTGGTTTATTTGAGAGGTCATAAAGATTTCCATTCGGGAAGTATACTCTGTTCTCAAACAATTTGTTAGCAATTGAACAAATGCTAACATAATCATAAACGTTTAAATCAAACTCTTTCAATATATCATTGCGGAACTTAACAAAACCTTCTCTTAAAATTCTTACATCTTGTTTGCAATAAAATGTACTATACTTTTCTAAGTCGAAGTGGTTTTCATCTATTCTGCAACCTTTGATGGAATCTATGTTTTTCATGAATGTATCCGCATCCCGGATAAACTTACATGCTTCAGAAATGACACCAGTTCTGTTGTCATTTGCTAACAAAACACTGCTGTAGTAGTTATATGGAAATACTTCTTTCGGTCCTGTTTGTAAGTTAAACATAGCAGGAAATAGTTTAAGCTTCTTATTTATAACACTGTAAGAGTCTTTTATAATAATTGCCCTTCCTTTATATAAGCCAGTTATTTGCATTGTTCGTGAACCTTTAATGATGGGAGTTCCTTTCACTTCTGTCATGTGTCTTAAGATGAAGTTTATATCATAACTGAGGTTATGGAAATATATTAAACTCTTGTCAGGAAGTCGCTCCAAAAATTCTGTTGCACAGTTCTGACCCCAAATGCTTTCACTCACTGAACCATCTTCACTGTCGTAACATATGTTAAAAGCTTTATGAAAGCCATCGGTACTGCACTCAAAGTCAGCAAAGAAAACGTGCTCAGGAATGAACTTGCACTTATTTTTATTTACTTCTTTTGACTCGGCTTTCTTCTTCAGTTGTACACAATACTTTGGAGCATATGTCAAATCTTTAAATGGTGCAAGGTTCTGTTTATATAAGTCAGTCGTATATGTGAAAAGTTCTCCATAAGAAATAGGTTCAAAATATTTGCACTCCCACAATATTTTCATAACATCCCATAACGGTGTTGTTCTATCATAACGAACTACATATTTATCTTCTCTCTTTGTATAAATCTTCATCTGTTTCTCAATGTTCATTCCACCACAAGCTTTGAGAATTTCTTTATAGTTTCGAATGAAATATGTTGTCATAGGTAATCTTTCATTTAACATGTAATGGTCTTCAACAAGAAGTAAGTCAATACTTCGAACAGTTTCACATTCTTTTGGTATGTATCTCTTTATTTCATTATGTCTTGAGTCATTGAAGTAACCAATGGTAACATTAAATGCTATACCTGTTGCATCAGAAATTTCTTGTACTTTACTTTGAGGAAAGTCTCTAACACGAATGACTTCTCTAATGTGGTCAATAGTCTCTCCATCTACTCCAGCCTGAATGCAAGCATAAACGAAGCAGTTATCTTCTGTCATAAGTGTTGCAGTTCTTTTGTTCAGTTCATTGAAGATTTGGTAGCGTTCAAGATTTATAGGTAATGTGCAAAGATACTTCCAGAACTGACCGCTTCTCTTCTTATAAAACTTCTTTTCACCATTATCTTTCCAAAAGCTTTCTATAAGTGCTGAGTTTCCTGTTTGCTTAAGAGCTTCTAAAATGGCTTTCTGGTCATTTGTCAGTGTGCTTTCATCTTTATATGGTCTCTTTTTTGGTTTGCCTTTCTTTACATCTGACATCGTTAAGCCTTCATATTCTGTTAAATCATACATCTTTATTTCAGTAAGATTCTTTATGTTTGTCAAGAAGAAGTCATAGTGCATTTCAACAATACCTGCAGCATTTGCTTCTATCTCTGATATAAAGTTCTCCTTCAAGAGCTGATGTAGTAATGTTCCAATATTATTGAGGTTTAACGTAGAACATTCATACTTTCCACCAAGTTTATAACATACCATCCATCTCTGTTGTGAGTTTATTTTAATTTTCTCTAAGAGTCTCATGAAAACCTTACCGAAATGTTTGTGTAAGTAGTCTCTGTTTGGTTCATCTAAAGCTTCGATGTTAAAGTCAATGAGTCTATTGCCTGACTTCACATTTCTCTTCCTATTCTCTTCATCTTTCTTTAACCATCTCTCACCTTCTTTTGGTTTGTCGTCAATGGAACGAATGACATCGTTAGCTTTGCGAACTTGTTCTATAGCGCTCTTAAACATCTCTCTTCTCTGTTGTTTCAGTGTGTCGTCTCTTCTTCTTGTTTCACCAACGTTTGCATTTGTTATGTCAAACATTTCTCTTCTTACTTCATGAGGTACTGAACGTCTATGATATAAGTCAATAGCAACGTCATTTAAAGGAAATGCTCTTGCATGGACTTCGTCCTCGCCGCGTTGCGGCTTTATGAACTCATGAATTCTATCATAACTTATTGCACCATTATAGTCATTGAGGATGTCAGCGAGTGCTTTTTTGTTTGTTGCGTAATGCTTTGCTACTTCTATGTTAGCTTCTGTTAGAAGTTGTTTTATTTCCGAGTGTTCTAACTTAGACAACTTCCGATACATCTTTAGTAGGAAATAAAAAAATATTTTTTGAAAAAATTAGATTAGATTTTTTAAGTTATTTTCAAAATAATTTAATATTTTTATTTTAATGAAACACATGCAAGATTGCAAGTTCTTTTCATACAATGCTCTCGCTACTGCCATCAAGAATGAGTTCAATAATGCTTCAAATGTTAATGTTATCTTTAACAAGAAGTTGTGAAAGAATCTAAGTTTGGTCAGTATGTCAGACCATTAGCTATCGTCATTGACCGCAAACGTTATACTTCACAAGAGTTAGCAGTAGTTTTGAAACAAAAGAGTTTCTTCGTGAATGTCAAAGATACACATTATACATCATAAAGAACTCTAACATTGACTTCTTCAGTATTGCTTTAAATCTTCCGAACAGAAAGAATATAAGAAAGGTGAAACAAATGTGAAATATATCCTTCATCTCTGAAGACAATAACGAACAAAGATGTTATACAGAAATTCTTACCAAAGGTTGAAGAAGCTTCTATTGACATTGACGAAGGAAGTGAAATGGTTGAAGAAATTGACCCTGAAGCTATTTAAGCAAAAATATATTTTTGGTTAGTCTTCATATGGATATTTTACAACAATTCCCCAATGTATAAACTTTTCATACGCTTTTTCATAAGCTTTATATACCTTCAGAAATTTTGCATAATCTTTAGAAGCATTTAGATATTGTTTAAATGCTTTGTATGTCTTCAGAAATTTTGCATAATCTTTTACATGTTGTTCGTTCTCTTCTTCTGTCATGAGTTCCGAATATTCTAAATTCATGTTCTTTCATATGAGATAAAATTTATAAAAAAATAAAATTAGCTTAGATTTTTTTATTCTTCCTCTTTGAAGTTATCGAAATATTCTGTTATTTTTTCCTTCAGTAATGTTAAGTCTTCTTTGAATGTAAGTATTGTGCAACCTTTGATGTCATAGTGTGTTTGAGAAAGAGTATTTTTGACAATTTCCTTTATTTGCTCATTCGGTGTCATTGAAATCGGTAAGTTTTCACGATAGAACCAGTTTCTGTCAGATTTATATATCTTAGCTAAGTCATAAAAGCTCTTGTTGTTTCTTCTCACTAAATGCAACATAACCATATCTTTATCTTCTTCATTTTCCAACTCTTCAGTATAAATCATATACTTATAACTCTTTTCCTTTCCTTTTGGTACTGAACGCGGTATTCTTTTCTGTATGCTTTTGTCTTTGGATTCAATGACTTCATCTTTTGCTTGAAGTTTCTTTTCCATCTCTCCGCGTTCTGCTTTATATAGTTCATCTAACATCATGAAAATATAACAAGCATAACGAGGTGAAGCCCACATTGCTACAGCGTTTACTAAAAATCTATGAACATAATAACCTTTCAAACCAGGAGCCAAATTCTTGCGATTTTCGTACGGAATCTCTTCTCTCGGTTTTCCGAGGGAAGCAATCATATGAGGAAATTTTTCTAAAAGTTCTTTTGTCTGTTGGTTTTCAAACCAATGATATGCTTGCTTTGTAGAACGAAGAGCATTCATTATACTCTGCATTTGGTACATATCGTCTTTGACTGAACGAATGAGACGTAACTGTTTGTTATACTGTATGTACTCGTATTCTTCATTTATGGCTTCATGAACGATAGCAATTGTTGTGTTCTCTGATGTTGACATTTCTGTCTTTACATACAAAATAAAAAATAAATAAAAATAAAACTAACTTTATTTTTCTAACTAATGAAATTCATTATTTTTGTGCTGAATTCAATAAAAATATATTTTAGGGTAGAAGGTTAGATCTAACCCGATTTCTACCCTCATTTCTACCCCAGTTATTTTATAAACGTTTCACATGGTAAACGTTATTTTTGGAATTTTGTGAAAACTCAACGGTTTGACACATGCCCTAAAAATTATTTTACTCAGAATTTTGTTGCTGAATTCAATAAAAATATATTTTAGGGTAGATGGTTAGATCTAACCCGATTTCTACCCTTATTATTTATAACCGTTTTACATGGTAAACGTTATGAATTTGTGAAATTTTAAATATTTTTGTAGCTTCTATTTCTTCGCTGAGGATATCAAAAATTTTAACGATACCGAAAGTTTCTTTATACTTCTTCTTGACATCAGATAGAAGGAAATCGTCAGCAGTTGGATAGTTTTTGTTCAGAAATGCTAACATGTCCATTTTATCTTCTGCTGGTTTCTCTGCCTCCCTCTTTAAGTCAGCATAGTCGTTTCGCATACGTTCTATCTCTTTTACTGAATAGTTATATTTCCTCATTGCTGCTTTACATTTCGAACATTGCGGATTCATTTTTGCGTTATATTCTGAAACCTTACCTGCTAAAATAACTAAAGCGTCAATGGTTTTCTTTAAATCTGAAGCAGTTGGTTTTATCTGTTCATTCCATACCTTACCTCTTCTATCTTTATCTCTTATCTGCCATACACATTTTGCAACTAATGAAACAAAGTTGTCGTATGTCTTAAACTCCCCAGATTTATATATGTCAGAGATGTTCTTATATACCATGTCGCAATCTTTATCCATAACTTTATGGTTGCAATGATATCCTAGAAACTCATAATTTACTTTACGTATGAACTTCTGTATTTCTGCAGAATCACTAACTTTAACTTCTATTTCATCGAATTCAGGAATAGTGAGTTTTTGTTGTTGGATTTCAGGCAATTTAGGTAAATGGTCTATGATATCTTGCATGTCATAAAGATATTCTCCATTTTCTTCATCCTGTGCGGTACAGTCTAAATTACTTGTTAAAAGTTCCTGCTTAATTTTTTGTATTTCTGTTTCGAAAGTAAATGAAGAAGGAATGAAGCTTTTCATCTCTACTAACATAGATGTTGTATTCATGACTAACGAGTTTGGTGCTGTTGTTTGAATTGTTGTTGTGCCGATTGTTGAAATCATATCTTTTATACAAAATAAAAAAATAAATAAAAATAAAACTAACTTTATTTTTTCTATCTTAAGGAAATTCATGAAAATTCAAGACCTTTGGGTCTCGCCGCTTAGCGGTTGAGGGTAGAAATGGGGTTAGATATCGGGTTAGATCTAACCATCTACCCTAAACATTATTTTTGCTGAATTCAGCAACAAAATGAACGAGGTCAGGATGTATGTAAATACCTTTGAATTCATTTATAACGCCCTTAGTAAGCTCATAAAATGCTTGTTTTGAGGTTGAGCCACTTTTGTCTCGACCGTATTCTTTCATCCAAAACTCAAGAATTTCCTGCATGAATTTTCATGAATTTTATATATTAATGTTTTCGTACCTGTTGTCTAAATGTCATGTTGTCATCATTTTTTAAAGAAGTTAATTAACCTGGTGACATGGTGACGTGGTGACACCTAAAAACCATTAACGATAAAATATATTTTTGGTCGTTTATGACAAAAATAAATGGTTCATTTACTCACAATATTTTTGTACAAAACGACCCCAAACTTTTAACTTCTTTTCTGCAGCTTCTAATGCTATCTTAGCGAGTTCATATTCTCTAAATTCTCTCTTTAAATCTTCTTGTTCCCATTGGTCTAGTTCGTATGGAGAATCTCTATAACCATAACATATCTCACGTTCATGTTCTAATTGTTTTTCATGCATTTTTCTAACTTCTTCTTCAAACAAATGTTTTGCATTCTCTACTGTATCTTCAAGTTCTTCTTCATCTAACTTCTCATGAACTTTCTTGTCTATGGAGTCCATAATTTTTCCAACTGCTATGCAATATTTTGGAGAAGCCCACATTGCTATATAGTTTATAAGTCTTGGGTCTACATACGTTCCTCTAACCTGTTTGATTTCATCAGGAATTCCTGCATGAATTTTGTATAAAAAGCAACCGCCGGAATTCGGACTGTTGCTATATTCTTCACAAAATGCCTTATAATACTTTTCCCAGGACTTATTTTTCAACAACTTTCTAAAGTCTTTCCTAAACTGCTGATACATATTTGTTGCATTAATGTAACCATCCTTGTCTCTACGTAAGACTTCAATATCGTTATAAGTGCCTTTTGTGAATGTTTCGCCATTAGATTTGTTCGTGAACGTCTGTGCTTCGACTGACATTTCTGTTCTTACATACAAAATAAAAAAAATAAATAAAAATAAAACTAACTTTATTTTTTCTGTCTTAAGGAAATTCATGAGGGTAGAAATGAGGTTAGAAATCGGGTTAGATCTAACCATCTACCCTAAATATATTTTTGGTGTAAATAAATGGTACCATTAATGATATCATGACTGTTCTCGTTCATGTCTGATTTACATCTAATGAAAAAGTTTAGAAGAATTTTCTTATTCTTTCTGGCATGTTTTTATCTTTCCAGTACTCCCGCTCTAATGGTCCCAGATGAGTTGGTTTAGATTCTCTCAAGTTCTTAGATGGTATAACATCTTCAACGCCTCCTTCATATCTTACTTTATAAGTGTCATCGTTTATGTTATAGCCAAGTATTTCAATAACCACTCCTCGCTTTGCTTCGTCAATGGTTTCAGCAAGTTTGCCATTACTACTTTCAACCAATTTATGTCGAGGATAAAATGCAATGGAGTCGTCAGCAGCTTTTATAAGATATCCATTACCTTGCGTAGAGTCTACGATATAATAATTTTGACTTAACCTTAAACGTTTCTTTGTCAACGGTTTGTCGTCAAGAACTACACGAACTTTTGTTCCAGGAATGAGGGTAAATTGTGTTGAATTTCTGATATTTTGTGTTTGACTTCGTTTCTTTTGTATATACTTTTCTTCTTGTTGTTGTGTCATTGAATTTGGTGTATGTCCTGTTGTAGAATGTGTTGAGGAATTATATACTTCGAGAAAATGTTTCATTGTTTCTTCGGTAAAGTCTCGCTCTTGATTTAAATCTCTGAGAGTCCTTATGAAGCGGTTTATGATGCCGAGTATGTTATGGTTATGGTCTTCGGTAGTGTAGTGAGTTATGTTATGCTTAATGAGAAATTCTGTGATTTCATTGCTGAGATATGCACTGTCTTGGTCTGATGTTAAAGTACTTGGGCTATGTTCTGCTACAAACTTTTGTAAAACTCTTAACACTTCACGAGTTCCTTTATTTTTCATTGGATATGCATATGCTTTACGAGTGTTAACATTAATGAAGATGAGGAATGGTTTATGTCCTCCTTTTCTGCTTTGAATGAGAGTGTCAAATTGGTATGCGTCAGGAGTGTTGGAGTAAATTGGTAAAAAGTAGTCGTAAGGGTTTATTTTTGTTTGATGTACAACATTTTTGTCAAAGAACCTTTTCACTTCAGCTCTGTTAGTAAATCCCCAACTCTTTGCAGCTTCATTGAACTTCTTAAATGACCTCCATGGATGTTGTTCGAATACTTCTTTCAAGCTCATTTATGTAAAAATAAAGATTTTATTCAAGACGCTAAGCCTGCAAAGCAGGCTCAAGCGCGTTCATTGAACGCGGTACCATGCGAATACAGTCATAAATGGTGGCATATAATCTTCACCCGAGCCTGTTGGATTTGTTGTGAAAGTATGGACATGATTTCCTCCTGGTTCAGTTGGTCGAAAAGTCTTTTTTGCTGAATTGTTATAAGATGGAGATAAAACATCATTGCCAGCTTCATAGTCTGAGTTGTATAATGGGTGGTCTCTTAATGAGTGGCTATGGTCGCCAGAAAAGTTTGTAGTTCCTGTATGAGTGTGCGCAGGTAAGTTTGCTTCAGTAATTTTCTTTGAGCCTCCTGTTTGCTTTGAAGAGTTAGCACAGTATAAGAATTTGTCTACAATCTGCTGCCATGTACCAAAACCCAGAAATGTTGCGGGATTTGTTGAATTCATTGATGTATATAAAGAACCAACAGGATATATAGCTTGCAATATTTCATTTTTCATGCTTGTAATCGCATTTGTTGCATCAGTTCTAAATTCATCGAAACCATCGAGAACATGAGTAAGATTATTATATTCTACATTCTTTTGACCAGGTAATTGATGATGTAATTGAATGTCATTAACTGTTAATGAATCTATATTCGAAAATCTTTCATTAATTTTACCATTAACCGCATCATTTACTTCTGACTTCTTCACATAATTTTCATTGACCCATTCCTTTGCTTCTTCTGTATAACTCAATGCTTTTGTATCATAACGATTTAATTCTTCATCTACATATATTTTGTCGGTTTTATTGGCTAAATCAACAACCATATCTCTTAGGTTAGTGCACATATCTTCATCACGCATGCTTGATGAAGCAATAGCCCAATTCAATATTATCTCATCAGCTCTAATAGTTGTGAAGAATTCATGTGTATGGTTCTTATCTGCTTTCTTATCTAACATTGCTGGTAGTTCATATGTTTCAAAGTTTCTGACATGTCCTTCGATATTTATACATTTGTTATTTAAGGAGTTTAGTGTATCTTTTACGCTTGTACTTGGATTCTCTAAAGGTGCACTTGAACCAAGGGTATAGTTCAATATTATGTCGTCTGCTCTAACAGTAGTGAAGGATTCATGTGTATGGTTCTTGTCAGCTTTACTATTTAATGTAGCTTGAAGTTCATTTATATCGGAGATATTATGTTTATGAGATTTCAAAACTTTGTTCGTTGCGTCAAGTTCATCTTTCTCTGCTTTACTTTTAATAGCATCTTCAACGGTTATTTTTCTACTTATTCTCAAAGTAAATTTTGGTTCAACTAATACACCTTTAACAAAGAAGTATGAAGCATAAATTTCATCGTTATAACCAAATGCTTCTGGTGCTTTACCCGCATCATACTGTACAGTACAGCGTATGTCATAACCTTCAGCACGAATGTATTTATATCTTCTTTCATTAACATCTTCCGTCTTCACTCTTTCTTCAGTTCGTGTTAAATATCCATGATAGTCCGTTATAATCTGTTCATCTGAACTTATATAATGAACATGGTTTTTATCTGCCTTACTATCTAATTTCTCATTAACATCATTCACCTCTAATTCAACTCTTCCGCCAGAACTCTTATTATCATTAATCTTTTTCATTAATTCAGTAATTACGTCATAAAGACTATATTCTGTTTTCGGTTCTGTAAATAATGAGTCAAAATTTCTTTTCATCATTACATCGCTGACATTTATGACATCAGCGATACCTTTTTCATTTATTCTCTTCATTAGTTCTGCAATAATGACGAATATATAATCTGTTAATTTATTCTCTTCATCAAGGGTTATAGAATGATTTGAAATCGAATCATTAACACCTCTAAATAAATCAATAACTTCAGGATACACGTTTTTAATGTCTCGAATAACCTGACCCGTATCCTCTGGTTTCTTCTCTTCTTCGTGGGCTTCGCCCTCACCGCTACGCGGCTTTATGTCTCTAACCATCATCAACGCAGCCATAACCGGAGGGTTTGTTGCTACCTGTTCGAAAATCTGGCCGTTATGTATGGTATATCTAAATAATTTCTTTGTGTTTGTTAAAACATTTGAAACAAGTCTTTTAAAACCATCTACAAAATTTCCCGTTTCACCTAATGTTCTTGCAGCATTTACAAGCTCACCCATTCCCGCTTTTGACCCCAAAAACGCCCATATTGCATTTATTTCACTCTGTATAGTTGTCCATTCAGCGAAACTAACACCCGCATTCGCTAAATTGAAAATGAAACCCAGTGGATCGAACTTAATTCCGCCTTCTTTTTCAATTTCAACGAACTCACTAACATGAGATTTTAAATATTCTTTCGTTAAAATCGTTTTTCCTGATGTCATGCTGTTAACGGAACTATCACCATCAAAAGTTAACGAATTCAATTTCGTCATTGGTGCTTTTATTTCATACACCGCTTTATCTATAGTTTTTGGCTCACCTTCTTTAGAAGTGTATGAAACATTAATGAATGAATTATATGTATTCATGAATGAGTTAAAATCAATGATTTTCATTAATGAAGCCTTTAATGATTCATTAACTGTTGAATCCCTTAATTCAATTACTGAACTGTCCTTAATGAAAGGTACACTGCAAACCGTCGAATTTGGATCAAATGCCGTAGTCGGAGAAGGAGTATTAATTATATAAGTCATTAAATCATTAAGTGACGTAAATAATGTTGTTGTTTTTGATTTAATTTCTTTAGCATCTGTTATATACGGTAATTTTATTTCTGTAGTTTCTGAATTAAAGATATTCGCTAAAATGTTTTGTAAACTGTTTTGAACAGCTGTATAAACCGTTGAATTCGGAACCCTTACGATTTCACCATCCTTAATAAAGGGCATTGCACATGGCGTAGTGCTTGGGTCAAATCTTTCGGGATTATAATTCAACATATATTCTAATGCTTCATAAACAGACCTATATACTGTTGTGTCATTCTTCATGACAACTTCACCATTTACAATGAATGGCATAGTACATGGAGTTAAAATAGGGTCAAACTTTTCATAGTCCTTCCATGTTATATATTTCTCAGTATTTCCATCAGAAATAACAATATATTTGTCAGTAAGTGTGAGAGAGTATTGACCAAAATATAAACGTTTAGCTCTATCAGCTTCATACGCATATGCAGCAATAGTCATATTTTAATAAGAATAAAATGTTGTTCTATTTGCAAAGTACAGACCCGAACGAATACGGGACAATAAAACTACAAACAAACTTAGGACTTCAGAATGAAGCGCTTGCTTTCAGAATGGCTGACTTTAATACTATTGCTTCATTCGTTATAACTGACGAAACAGATTTCATGGAGCTTGAAATAGATGGAAAGAAGCACGAAATAAGATTTCACAATAATGTAGAATATAAGATGGAAACATTAGCTGGAGTGTTAAATGCTCTCATAAATACTACAATAAACAAGGATAACGAAGAAAACTTAATGAATGTTAAACTTATTGCAGGAGTTTTGAAGTTCAGTTATGTGAAGGAGTTTAAGATAACACGAATGAGTCATAGAGTTCAATTGCTTCTGGGAGCATACCATATGACATTTCCTTTGAAAAGTGTTGACAAAACGATTGAGATGAAATCTGTTCCATACGTATGTTATGGCAACTGTTTGTACATTGAGTCAAAAATAGCTAATGTCACAGGTATTTCAGGAGTTAATAGTAAAGGTTCAGTAGAATATAAGTCTTTCTGTTATGAAGTAAATTCAATGTTCATTCCAAACGTTCCTGTCATAGCAACTCATTTAGGTAAATGGGTTCGCATTAGTCCTCATAATTTGAAAGACATGCAATTCAGACTTGTTGACTTTCAAGGAGAGCCTGTAGAACTGAAGGCACCAGTGCGAATGACTGTTGAAGTTGACTTTTTAGAAAATATTAAATGCAACAGCTTACAAGAGAACTCAGAGCTAAAAATATAAAGTATGAATGTTATGTATTAGGTCATGAACTTTGGTTGTTGCTGTTTGATGAAACAAATGAGTTAGTTATGTCAGTCAAGAGAACAGCAAAATATTGTGTTAGTGAAAACTGCACCAAGTCAATAAGATTAGGTTTGCATTATGAAGATAAGTTCGATACTGTTGAAGAAGTTTTGGACAGATACTATAAGTTGTTAACTTGGAATTTTTTTGACTGACGGCGCAAAGCGCCAAGACCGAAGGTCCTGACTGTTTTAATTTACTAAAACATATTTCAAACAAAGCTTATATTCTGTTGAAAGTTTTGTATACTCGTTTGAATATTTATACTTAAACTCAACTCCTGTAGTTCCTGGTGTTTCAATGATGCGGATGTTACCTATTTTCATGAATATTGGCGTTTGACCACAGCATTCGATTTCAGGGTCGAGATAGTCAATGACACATTGTTTCCCTGTTATTCGTGATATAACATTTTCAAGGTCCTCCTTTGTTAGAATTATTTGGTTCTTGCTTATAAGATTTGTCAAAAGCTTCTTATCGTCTTTGAGTAAGATAGTTTGATATAACTGAAGAAGGTAATGGTCTACGTTATCTGAAGGATTTGTTTGAACATTTGTGTAAGGGTTGTCGTTGGCTTCTCTTGAAAGAATTTGGTCCAGTGGTGGATACTCTAACTTAACATCTGATGTAGCGTTAGCGTTTGAAGCTGAGTTTAAATTCACCGACTTAAGTTCTGGTTCTTTTTCTTTCAAACACTCTGAACTATAGTTCTTTATGACAATATTGTTTGTCGTTCGTGAGTCAACATTTGATGTTGGTTCAATTGGAACATTAACGGCACCAGCTAAGATGGATTTGCTTCTCATTTCATATAGAATAAAAACCTTTTATATGTATGAAATGAACAATATACTCGACAAGGGTTTGAATGTAAAGCTAACGAATGAAAATATTGTTGAATTCACTGAGACAGGTGCTGTGTATAAAGATGTAGAACTACTGAACAAAAGAGCTAAGGGAAGAAGCAGGAACATGAACAAAGGGTGGAAGCCTATAAAAATTTATGTCAATGATGGCTCAGGAGGTTCAAACATAAAGTATGCAGAAAGTTATAGAGTTTATGCTCTCAAAGGTGAAAAGCCTTCATTTAAGAACAGCTATTCTAACGCATATCCTCAAAAGCTAACGGATGGGGAAGTGGATGATATGAATGACAGCAAAAATATTAACAGAAATGGCGACAGAGATGCATGGAATTTGTTTACCATCAGTCAATTGAAGGTTAAGCTTTAAAATAATGTTGGTCGTTCCCATGGAATATTTTTGACTTTAATGGTATTAGTCATGATATGAATCTCAAGGTATGAACGAGGAGAGATGAGAGACTTATATGCTTCCCAAATTTCTTCAAAAGGTAATGTTATACCTGACTGTTTCCAAATGAGTTCAATATCATAGCGTGAGAAACCTTGAAAGATAACGAAGTCAGTTATGAGACGTTTTATGTTTAAAGCTAAAAACCTCCATGTTTGCATAAGTATTGCTACAGTTAAATGGTAATGTCTGACTTTAGTTATGATGTTAGCTAATGGTGAGTCAGGCTTTGAAACTAAACCTTTTCCGGCGAAGTCGTCGCAAACGAGCAGAGTGTTTGAAGGATATTTTTTGAAGGGGTATTTTGAAAGTTTTGATAGAATGTAGTTTGTCAGTCGTTTCATATCGTAAACTCCTGAGTACTGACGTAAGTGGTGTTTGTCAATAATTCTTTCCATCTCCTCAGAAGTCTTTTGCATTCCTGACTGTATGAACTCTACGATAGCATAATATTTCCTCTTACGTCGAATGTAACGTTGAAGAAATTCAATGAGTTCGCTATCTGGAACTTTAACGACAGAGGCTTGAACTTTTGACATAAATGTTTTCGCTGTTGAGTCCATAGAGTCTGAAGTTGCTGATATAATGATTTGGTCATAGTAAGAGTCGTTTTCTAAACGCTCTGTTATGAGTATATGACGAATGAGGTTAAATGTCTTTCCTGACCCCATCTTTCCACAATAGAAATAAACATCATTTGAACAGAACTCATAGTCCTTACTGAAAGGAAGAATGAGAGAAGAGTTAAGTTTATCTGTGGTTTCATTCATGTCTTCATCTACGTCATGTATTAAATGCTTCATTTTATCTCCATTAAAAATGCAAGTCAGAAATATTCAGAACATAGCACCGAGTCTAACTGACAAGAGTATAAAGATATACTATGAACACGTTATGATGAAACCTACCAAAATTCAAGAAAGTCAGTATACTTATGAATATCCAAGACACTGGGTAGAGTATGTAGGAGGTGAGAAAGCTATTGAAATAAGACAAGTTAGAAGTATTCCAGCAGGAAGAACAATATTATTGAAGAACTTTAATGTTTTGAGGTATAATGATGAAACAAAGAAGCAAGATAGTTTTCCTGTTGCTGTGTATGTGAACTTAGATACAGGAGATGACATGAAAGTTTTTAACACAAAGCTTCAAACGGTAGTGAGAGAACAACTTACTGCGGAAGGACATCCATTACCTTCAGAAGTTACCATAGCATATAATTTTGAAACAAACTCAATAGATTTTAAAGTCGTCTCTGCAAAGAAGTCAGGTTTTACATTTAATGAAGCAGATGTATATTCGAATGAAAACTTCAAAGCTATTGCATGGTTAGATAATGACGATTGCTTTAAGAAAATATTTAAATTCAGTGACTCAAAGATGTCAATAGATGACCTTCGTGGAATGTTACCATCGACGTTTACAGTAGAAGGTTCAGCAGGATTGCTTACAAGATTGTCAATTGGTGGCATTTGGTCTCGTGAGAACATTGTTATAAAATCCAGTATAAGTGAATTTGCTGAAGAATCTATATTATGTCTTTCAAACTATATGTATTCGCCGCCGAAGCATTATAGTATAACAAACTTTGTCAGTAAGTTTAACATAAGACTTGTCGAACCTTCTTCAATGAAAGATGTTGTGCTACCTAAAGATGGAAAGGATGGACTCATTATTGAGATGATTTTAATAGCATATTAAATGAGTTTGTTCTTGAAGGTCATTCATGATGAAATAACTGTTGTAGAAGATGTTAGCAATTGTTCAGACATTTTGAAGCGAATAGATGAGATAAGAAAGAAGTTAGATAGACCGCAAAGCGGTGAGGGCGAAGCCCGTGAGAATGTTTATGTTTCATTGACTTTCTCCAGTAACGAGAACTTTTATGAGATAATATTGAAGAGAGATGATTTTAATATGGTGTAAATGGTCGCTTGGGCAGCTTTAGGCGTAATGGGAACAAAAGCATTAGCATTTGGAGCAAAAGCACTTGGAGCTTATGACGCAGTAAATAAAATGAGTGGAGGAAGGGTTTCGAAGACATTAGATGCAAATAAAGGAAAGATTGGAGGCTGGGTTGCAAAGAAGTTAAGATTAAATAAAATAGGGCTCATAAATAAAGCATCCAATTTGGTTGCGACTGAGTCAGAAAATGCTTTAGGAAAGGACGATGAGTTTGCAAAACACGCAAAAGACTTTAATGACCAGATGAAAGGTGAAACAATGCATTTAAATAGAGTCGATGGAACTAAAGAAAATGTTTCTTCTCCACTAGTAGTTCTTCCGTATGGTCCCTATGGAATGTATGGAAACCCTTACGAAAGACCATTTGACCCATTGACTGGTGGAAGTAACTGGTATCATTACGGCCGAAGAAGAAAGACAGTCAAGTTGGAGACAGACGTGAAGAAAGCAACTAAAAAGAAACCAAGGAAGAGAGTTATAAAGCAATGAATTCAACAGGGTAGAAAAGAGGTTAGAAATCGGGTTAGATCTAACCTTCTACCCTAAGTTTATTTTTGTGCTATGTTTTCATACGTGTGAGGGTGGTGATATTATTTATTTTTAAGTTTATTTTTTTATTTTATTTTTTATTTTAATTTTATATAAATGACGAAAACTATTGAGATAACAAACTACAACGGTCATGAGTTCAAGAATTTGTTCTTCGTTCCTCGTGAAAATACATTCTATCAGATACGAGGGAGAAAAGGTAAAGTTAGTTTGAGCGTTTATGACTACAAGCATAATGGAAAGTTTATACAAGCATACGATACAAACGGTAAGCGTGTTTCATTAGCTTTGTCAAAACTTACTAACATTTATTTTGACAGTGATTTTGACCTATATGAAGAAGAAAGTGAGTCAGAAGAATATGAACTGTTGTGTGAAGCACAGCAATGGGAGGAGTTGCAATACTTTTGTAAGTGAGAACGTTTATTTTTTTACAGTAGTGAGGTGAAGTGGGTGGCGGTTTGTAAATATTTAAGGTTAAGTTAGTGTTGTCGTTTGTGTTGTAAAATATACGTTAACGGTTTCGTAAAGTGTCAAATTCACATATAATGGGTAAGGAGGCGCGCAGTGCCTCCGTACCCTTGATATGTTTACTAACTATTGAAAAACTGTGGTCAATCAAAAGAAATTATCGATTTTGTAATTAAAAAATCGTTCTCATATAATGTTCACTACAGCGAAATCAAAGACTTATTTAAAGTTATTGATAGGCTTGGCTTTGAAGAAAAAATCCTTATCTTCAATGGTAAAGGATTTTGCAGTTGCAATGAAACAAAGCGTTTCGGAACCGTTTGTTCTCATATTGAAGCACTTAACAATCAAAAACCTGAATTAAGAATTAACGTAGACCAATATTTAAATAATTGTTATACAGCGAAAATATCAGATGAAAAAATTGAAGAACTGGCAAAAATGACGGCAAGTTATAAAAACTTGCCAGCTATAGATAGTTTAGAGATCCCTGAAAGAATAAGAAGAGATAAACAAACGAGAAAGAGAATGCCTTCAAAATTTGAATATAATAAATAATGTTGATTTCAAATTTTGAGGAATTGATCGTCAATTTTGAAAGGATAATAAAAAATTGAGAGAAGGTGTAATTTTTTAAAAAAAGAAGATAAATCAAATATATTTTAATAAACAAATCAAATTATTAATTCATCCAAATTTTTTTAAGAAATGATCGGCAATTTTGAAAGGATAATAAAAATTGAGAGTAGGTGTAATTTTTTAAAAAAATAAGATAAATCAAATACATTTTAATAAACAAATCAAATTATTAATTCATCCAAAATTTTTTTAAGAAATGATCGGCAATTTTGAAAGGATAATAAAAAATTGAGAGAAGTGTAATTTTTAAAAAACAAGATAAATCAAATATATTTTAATAAACAAATCAAATTATTAATTCATCCAAAATTTTTTTAAGAAATGATCGTCAATTTTGAAAGGATAATAAAAATTGAGAGTAGGTGTAATTTTTTAAAAAAGAAGATAAATCAAATATATTTTAATAAACAAATCAAATTATTAATTCATCCAAATTTTTTTTAAGAAATGATCGGCAATTTTGAAAGGATAATAAAAATTGAGAGTAGGTGTAATTTTTTTAAAAAAATAAGATAAATCAAATACATTTTAATAAACAAATCAAATTATTAATTCATCCAAAATTTTTTTAAGAAATGATCGGCAATTTTGAAAGGATAATAAAAAATTGAGAGAAGGTGTAATTTTTAAAAAACAAGATAAATCAAATATATTTTAATAAATAAATCAAATTATTCAATTTTGATTTTAAAAACAATACTTTTATTGTAAATTTGAATTCAAATTATTGTTTTATATTCAGCCTTATATATTATTTTTCTTTAAACATTATTTTTCTTTCTTCTATTCAAATGCATTTTCAAAGCAAATTTTGAATTAGCCTATATTATCTCAATTACAAATATATTTTTATTTAACTCAAATGCACAATTAATCTTTTCATAATTTATCCATTTTGATAATTTCGATTTTTTTCAAAACGCTCTCAAATCTTTACAATTTGTGAGAATAATTTTATTCCCATATCAAAATTCAAATTTGTTTTTTTAATAATTGCATTTATCTATTAATATACTATCTATTTTTTCAATTTTTTATTTTCTATTTTTTATCAATTTTTTTCAAAATAAAATTTCTCCTTTTTCAACATTCTCCTAAACATTTTACGAAATCTTGCTAATATTTGCTTTCCCCATATTTATGGATGTGTTTCACCATCAATATACTTTCTATTTATTAAATTTCAATAAAGAAAAATCTCATCTTTCTAATTCCTTCATGAAAAATCCGAATTCATACTTGATTTATTATATACATTTTTACTAGCTATTGAATCAATTGTACTAACAATGTTAATTTCATTATCTAACTATAATATAAAATGTAAATTATAAAATATTGTTTAAATTACATACTAACAATATAATATTATTGATCTCATCATGCACAACCATCTTACCGTTCATTTCCATCAAAAACTCAATATTTACTATAAATATAGTAATTATATCATTTGAAAAAATCCAAATTTCCTCCTAATTCATATATTTCATTTTAAATATTATACATATTCTATGTTCATAATGCCAGATCTAAATCTCAAATAGATTTCGAAATAAATAAAGAACAGAAAGTGTTCCTCTCAAAAAGTGGAAACACTTTCCGGTTCCTCCTTTAAATTATATCTATAATCAAGGTTTCATCCGGAAAATTTTGATGTGATTCACACCCCTAATGTCGGAAAATTATTCCAAGATTAAATGAATGAAATCAATTATTATGAGCTAATGAAGCTAAGCAAAGATTATATTGATTCAGTTGATGCATTATACAAACTACGCACATACAATGAAGATGAAATTAACAATATTTACAATGTTATCAAAAAGAATTTGATTGAAACAAAAATACTGTTATCATCTCAGATAATTGAAATTCTATCGGTTGCGTCCAAATACAATAATCGTTATTTCAAGTCATATTGGATCTTATTCTTAAAGATTATTGAAGATAATAAATCTGTAGAATTGAACTATAAATCAGCATTTTTCCAGTATTTTTATTATAGAAAATACGGGAATGTATTAAACAAAGACACAATTCAATATTTTGAAAAATATGATTCTCGAAAATATTCATTGGATGTTCATGACGAAGATTCAATATATAGAGCAATTATGTTTGATGACATTGAGTCATTTGTTGTGATATCTGAAAGAAATGGACTTGATATCAACAAAGAGATTGATTCCGATTTTTATCCAATTTCTCCGATTTCAATCCTTGAGATGTGATGTTATCATGGAGCCGTAAAATGTTTCAAATTCATATTAACAACATACTGCACTCCAATTACTCGTAAATGTGCTCAGCTTTCATTTTTAAGCGGCAATCCTGATATCATGAGTGTATGTTTGAAATACATAAAGCCTGATAAGGAATGCATGAAGAATGCAATTATTTCTCATAATATTGACTTTGTTTCCTTCCTGATGACTGAATATGGAATGAAAATCGATATGGAAAAATGCTGTTTATATCATAATATCCAAGCACTATTTGTTTATTTTGATCAAGGAAATGATATTCAAAAATGCATTGTTGAAGCAACCTACTATGATATTTATTTACCATATGAATACTTGATCACCCATGGAATAGATTTCAATGCAAAAGACTCTTATGGAAGAAGTGTTATTCACTCTGCAGCAGCAAACGGTCGTGAGCAAATAATAGAGATCCTCTTATCCCATGGAATTGATATCAACTCTAAAGATGAAAGAGGAAAAACTGCTCTCCATTATGCTGCAATGTTTAATCGAAAAGAAACCGCCGAATTCCTTCTTGCCCACGGTGCAGAAATCAATGAAAAGGACGATAATGGCTATACACCCCTTTATTTGGCATATGAATACAATAGTAGAGATGTTAGAAGATTCCTTATTTCTAATGATGCAATTGAATAAATATAAATATTATCTATAATTAACATTTTATAAATTATCAAAAATTTTTCAATTCATGAGCTTGCGCTCTTCTCGTTCTTCGACAAAATCAACGAAGAGCCAAGTTTCACGCTCAATTACATCAACGTCGACAACTAATGCAAAACATATTCAGCGAGATGCGTATTTCATTGAAAAACTCAAGCAAAGAGAACTTGATTTAGCAATGCATCGGAAAAAACTCGAAATCGCCAAGCAACGTCACCTTAAAAATGTAGAAATCTTCGAATCTGAGCGTAATAGAGTACTTGCATGCTATAATAACTCATCTGTTGAAGCATTTGCTATTTCAAAAAAGAACGTTACACAAGCAGATATGGAAAATATTAACAAAAATGATGATTACATCCATCAACTATACAATGACATACATCAACAATTCTTATATTCTCAGAAAGAACTAGATGATGCTCAAAATAATTCTCAACAATCGAATGCCGATCAACAATCACCTGAAGATTCAACAAAAGCCGAAAAGGACATAAAAGGACGCCAATATGTTGTTGAACAGTTTCATCAATTATTAAATCGCATAAAAGATGAAGTAATTCCACATGAATCAGCCATTACAGATTTGGAAACTAAGGCAAAAAGCAATGAAGAAGAATTACAAGTGTTGTCTGCTAGAAAATCTGAATTAGATCGTCAATTAAGGTTTACACAGAAAAAATACAAAAATGCACTGAAATGGATAGAATCGAAGAAGAAAGAAAAGCAGAGGATTGAAGATCAAAATAAACATGCCAAATTATCACTAATTGACGAATTACGTTTACAAGAAGAGCTGAATCGCAAAGAAGAAGAACTAAAACAGTCAGAAGCAGCATTACAAGAAAAGGTTAATGCAAATGACGCCATCGTTAAGCATATCCAGGACTTGAGAAAATCTACAATTGACATGGATACTCAAAGAAGGTCAAATGAAGCTAATTTACAGAATACTGATAGAAAAGATGCACCTACAGTTACAGAACTCGAATCATTGAAGTTCGAAATCCAAAAAGCAAACGCAAGAGCCGATGAAATGGAAAAATGCATCGAAGACATGAAGAAAGATCCACTTTCACTCTCAAAAATCGCAGAATTAAAGGACAAATTGGAGAAGGCCAAAGCAGAGAACACGCAGCTCCTTGAGACGGCCAATTCCATTTCACAAGACGACAGTGACGAACTCAAAAACAAAATTGCATCAAAAATTAAAGAAATCCAACAACTTCAATCGCAAATCATCAGTGAAGAAGATTTAGAAGCCAGAAACTTCAAATTGCGAAACGAAGCTAAATCTCTATTCTCATTAGAGAGAAGTATTATGCAGAGAACTGCTTCTCTAAACTATCTAGAAGAAGAAATAGAAAATGATGAAAGTGCTCTGATTCAAGCAGAAGATGAACTTAAACGTGAAAAGAACTTAATCTTAACAAAAATTGCGCATACAGACAAAATGCTTGATCTTTACACACTACAAAAGCAAGATGCTGATGAGAGACTTATAACTATCCAAAACCAACTCAACAAACTTAAATTTCAATAAAAAAATTATTCTGTTTTATGTTTATTCACATGCAATAAATCTATTTTAATGAAAATCTTTTAATTTTTCAAAATAGCACAGAAATAATTCAACGTTGCTTTGTTTGTTAATTTGATATAAGATATATGATGTTGATATTTGGTTCTTTCGCATACAAACTGATTTAAAGAGCTTTGGATGAATATATATAATCAGAGTGTACAAAAAGAAATGAGAAACTCAATTCAACATTATCATTTAGTATTGCCCTCAATGGTAATACTATTATACTTTATATAAAATATGTTTAGTTAAATAATAGAAGAAGCTTCAGTTAGTATTGCCCTCGATGGTAATATCATTATATTTTATAAAGTAAATTGAGATTTATCTCATTGAAACAATTTCATACGATCATATGGACTTTTGTAAAGCCAAACATCTTATAAAATTTCTTATCTGGTAAGGTTCCTCCAAAATCTCGCGTTCAATGAGATGCATCGGAGGAACTTTGACTTATTGTACCACAGGTACATCAACTGGTACAACATGGCCTATATGATATAGATTCAATCAAAAAAATACAAAGTTCCGACTGCTCTCCACTAAATCACGGTGAACGTTTAAAAATTAAAGAAAAATTTGAATTCAAAAAGAAAATGACTCAACTTATTGCATGCGGTGTAGGTCAATGTGGTGTACAAATGGCCTCATCATTCACAGAGACTTATATGAAAGAAGCGCAAAATTACGTTGATCAAGACGCTTTTCACAGATTATTTTATGAAACATCAGATCATCAATACATAGCAAGAACAGTTTTAATCGATACCGAAAGAAAAGCTATAACAGATATATTAAGCGATAAATTTGCTACACGAAACTGGAAATATGATAAATGTTCTATCTGGGCAGAAGGCTGTGGTTCGGGAAATAACTGGGCATATGGTTATGATAAAAACGGATTCGCCGCTAAAAATGAAGTTATGGATAGACTTCAACATCAAGCAGAAAAATGCGATCGATTTGGAGGATTTCTATTCTTCCAATCATTGGGAGGTGGCACGGGTAGTGGACTTGGATCGAGAATTACCGAATGTGTTCGTGATACCTTTGGTCCACGCGCTCAAATCGTTAATAATGTTGTCTGGCCATACACTTTTGGCGGTGTTATGGTTCAGAACTATAACTCGGTTCTTTCACTTGCTGCTTTGATCAAAAATAGCGATGCTGTCGTTGTTACTTATAATGATACCCTTCATGCTATTTGTGCTGCTCAAAAAGGACCTGAAAATGTTACACTAGCTGACATGAATGATGTATTCTCGAGGAATTTAGCTGGTTTGCTCTTACCCTCATACGAATTATGTACAGTTCCTATTTGGAGCCAACCACTTTCGCATTTGGTTCAGATTCCGACACGAAGACTACTTCATATATTCGGATATCCAATTGAATCTGATGTTGCTCATGGATTTTCGAATTATAATTGGAGTTCATTGATTGATAATGTCCTTTCCATGGTTGCTACCGGAAACTTTGTCGGTAGGTCAATTCGTCAGATCAGATCCATCATAGATCCTCGCAGACAGCTTCCAATTAAGAAATGTGATGCAATTTGGACTGTTTTCAGAGGCATTGAAACGAACCAAGCTAAGCAATATATGTTGAACCATGACATAATGAAATGCCAACATTTCTTCCCAGCTGATAACGATGATCCTCTTCTTGTATCGACAAGTACTAGAAAATTCCTTGGATATGATCAGTATACAACTGTTATGGCGAACTCTCAGGTGATCATTGACCCACTTGAAGATCTACTTCAAAAATTCCATAATATGATCGAAACAGGTGCTTACATTCATCAATATCTTGATACCGGAATGGAAAAGAGCAAACTTCAGGAAGATAAACTCTTCCTTGAACAAGTTTTATTTGATTATAAGACAATGTAATAAATGTTTGTAATTTATTCATTAATTTATACAAATTTAAGAGTGTTTCTATCATATAGAATAGTAGTTGCAATGTTAAAGCATTGATTATTTTGAGATATATAATTAAAGATTTTATTCGGCACATGAAGTTCTTTGCATATGCATTTTGCATATCATATTAGCTCTTTGCATAGACATTTGTCCTTATCACTTGTAAAAAAAAAAATATATTAATAGTAATTTTTATTTATAAACAATTTGGAGATAGAACATTTAGGAAATCGAAAGAAATTCTAATTGATGGTAATGCGAGGCCATTCTTCAACGTATTTCGAATCGGGATATTGAGAAGTGAATTGAAATGGCTCTGCGTATGGAACAATTTGATATTTATTCGTATACAAGTTTGGGAAGCTATTCATTGGATCCTTGCAGTAAACAGGATTAATAGGTTGAGGAATTGAACGACGTAGTTTAAATGTAAACTGAAGTGGATTCTTTAGGGGAAGTTCGTCGTTCTTCGTATTATAGTTTTTATATGAATTATAGTTGAATTTGCCTTTGCATTTTTGAAACTTTGGTGAAAATCTTTGAAAACTGACTGGCTGTAGTGATGTTCCATTATATTCTTGTTTGGAGGGAACATCAATAGTATATGCTGGTTCCGAGAGATAACGCGGGATAATACTCATTATATTTTTTTAAAAAATCTATTCAATTTAAATGTCCGAACACTTATTTAGTTTTTATTCGAAAATATGTGACTATGTATAGTTATCATCATATATGCACCAAAAAATTATTCATTGAATCGAAATTAAATTCAATTTGTCAAAAATTTTATAAAATTTTAATTAATTGAGAAGATTTTTTGTCTTTTTTGAATTACCAAATAGAGGTTCAAGAGCGTGTTTGAGCTATTACAACTGCTGAAGATAGGAGTTCAAAATCCACTAGTAAATATGAGTTTATATCTCTTTCAAGCATTGAAATTTAAAAATCTATCTTCTTAACTTAAGTTTCAGTTAACTTTTCAAAATGATATTGAACTATAGGTACTTTTCTATGATGTACTACTCAAATTATGCATAGTTTGTTTAATATCTCAAATAATATATCAAATAGAAAGCTTCTTCAGCTTTAATTCTTTGTAGTTTTCATTTTTAGAGGCTTTTAACCATGAAAATATGCTCCAAAGCCTCAGGTGTTCTTGGAGCCTCACTTCGTAGTTTACGATGGCAAAAAAAATTAACTGTTTACAATTTGTCCAAATAAATAGAGATTTTCAAATGAAATATAAGATCGTAGACATAACAATAGTTCGGATTTCTCACAAAGAATCTTAATTTAAACAGAGATCAAGTAAAATTGAAGTAAATACTATCGTAATTAAGTTATATTATAAAAAATCAATTCGGATTTAGAAGTAGCAGATCAAATTTATTGCTTCTTGCCGCAACTTGTAGCAACTTGGTCAAGAAGTCTCTGGCCCTTTGGTGTGAGTTGGCGACCCTTCTCACCAACCTTGACAAGGTCAGCCTTCTCTAATTGCTGAAGAATGGAGCGGATGACCTTACGTGAGGCGTTGTGATGGTGCTTTGGCATTGTGACTGCCTTGAGGTTAGCGCCATAATGGAATGCAAGGCCAGAGAGGGAAGCATCATGATGCATGTAGATCTGGCGGATAACTGCGGCAGCACGTGTGTAGAACCAGTTCTGGTTGGATGGGGCCATCTGCTTGAGAGCAGCTGTCTTGACAAGATCTGCCCACTCTGGTGGCTTAACGATTCTGTTCTCTTGGAAGTGCTTGGCGAGAGCATTAACGAAAACGTCTGCAGCAATTTCGCGGGCTTGGAAGCCTTTGTGGCCGGTCTTACCACCGATCATAGGAAAAGGCCATACCTTATCGTCCGGAAGTTATTTTCATTCAATTTTGCGATGGTAATAATGAATAAATATAGAATCAATATGGAATATATTACGTGGATTTTATAAGAAAACTTGAAATTTTAAAAGGATTCTAATCAAAAATACCTAATTTAGGAGAAACTATTACATAAGTAATACAGTGATGAGTCCTCTTATCATAAACCACAAGCCATCAATCGTCGATGAATTCTCCAACTACAATATTAGGTCAACAATAATATCAGAGCTACCAATCGTTATTTCCTATGCTAAATTGTTTTTTACTCTCATCCACTGATAAATCATCTTGTGTATGTCGAAATTAATTGATATTCGATCCAATATTTCTTAATATTTCATATTATGTGATAAATTGCTTTATAACTACTAAACAACAACAAAATAGAATGATATTCTCTGTTTTATTTTTTCAAAAAATATACAAGTTCTTCCAAAATAACTCATTTTATTGTAGAATTTAATTAAATTTTTCTAAGTCATGAAATATAAGATTTTGATTTCTAATGAATGTTTTAATCATAAGCTTTAGATAAGCATTTTATTTATTTGCATAAAATTTCTCTAATATTAATTGTTAATAAAAATATCATCAAATATAACAAAAATGAATGTCATATGACTTAGAATAATTGCCCTTAGTTGAGTGTGATATTGTCCATGCTTATATCGTGATAGAAGTTGACATGATAAGAAAACATCAATTCGCATAATCAAAATCAAGCATTAGGGCCATCAAATTACCACATACACAAAAAGTTCGATATATTGGAAAGCACAGAGAATATGGCAATCACGCACGTTTTTGATATTTTACCAAATATTGCATTTGTGTAATAAAACACAAAAACGTTGATATTGACTCTCTCAAAGAATTAATTGTGCTTGAAAATCGATATCAAATAAACAATATTAAAAATAGAATTATTAATTTCCCATAAAAAGGAGTAAATACCTGTTCAAACATTTAACTTTGTTATATAAAGTATTTTAATGTATTTACTAACAATTTAAAAGAACAATTTTATGCAAATCTGAAAAGGTTGATGAAGGTATCATATCAAGAGTTATGCTATGCTCTGAATTGACTTTCTTTTCAATTCTAGAATATCTATCAATCATAAACACAATTTTAAGATTATTATTTTCTTTTGCGTACATTCTAGCAGTTTTATCATACTTATCTATGATCTCAGTCTTAGCTCCATTATTAAGAAGAAGCCTTGCTAATCTGTCATGATTGTTTTGAACTGCAATCATCAGAGAACTTTGACCTTTTGAATTAAGACAATTAACATCAATATGGTGCTGAATTAGTAGTTTAGCAGTATTATAATCATTTCGTTCACAGCAAATATGGAGACTTGTTTGCTGGAATGAATCTATGACATTTGGATTTGCTTTATTTTCTAATAAATATCTTGTTATCGGATATAAGGAATGCGAAACTGACGATATAAGGAGGGATTCGTTGATCTGTTCAGTTGTGAAATACTCGAAAAATACACGAAAATTATAATTATTAAGTGCAAATGATAAAGGAATAGGCATATTGAAATTTACATAGAGGTACTCAACTAAATCAAAATTATGAGCTTTAATAGCGTTTTCAATGCATCGTGGCGAAATATTATTAATATTTTGAATACATATTCGAACGATTTCAAAGTTGTTTCCAAGAAATGCATTTTCTAAAGTAGTGATTGTTATTTTCGCATGATTTAGATAGATATACTTGAAGCAATTAACAGCACCAAAAGTGGCAGAAATATCTAAAAGGTTAGCATAGTTAATCGTTTGGTTATAATCAAAGGCTGATGTAGCAGTTAAAACATGTAAGGAATTTATATCATCGAAAATTATTGATTGCATAATTTTATTTTTGAAATTGTATGTATATATTTGGTTTTCTGAATAATTTACAAAATTCAATGGTATTTCTAAGCCAATAATTCCTTTTTTAACGAGTAAGGCCTGTAACATTTTGTTATTGAAATATTTTTTTCCAATAAGAGGTTTGCGATTGCAGATCGATATGCACAAATCTACATATAATTTAATGCTTTTGCAGTTCCATATTGAAGCAAGATCAATGGCATCAATAATGTTGAATACTGAGATTTCATTGTCGGAAATTAAACGAATAATAAGATTTAATGTATGATCATAATTGGTATCACGCAATTTCCACAAAGATTCGGTCATATCTATCAAATCCTCCTGGAATTTAGGTGCCTGTGCCATGATAGAAATCAAATGAATATTGAATAGTTTACTTTTGTAATAAAATTTGACAATAAATGGAAATTAACTTACACACATATATTAGCATTCAGTTCCCAATTTTTGTAATTTACAAAAAGTATTGAAAACTATAAATAATTATTTGTAAATATCAGAAATATTAATTAATTTCTCGGGATGATATTTGTTATGAATGTGATGTTATACATTTTAAAATATAATCAAATTGAAAAAACTTACAAAATTCAATGAGAAATAAATTGAAAATACTTTTTGTTATAGACCGAAAATAGATTTTTTCGGTTATCTCTTCAAATAATTGAAAGAATGATACTATTATAGGTTTATTATATTAGATAGCATATAATCATGCTATAGCCGAAAATTATAAGTTTTGAGAAGATTGAATATAACACAAATAAATTTGAATGTAAGTTAAATTGCTTGTTGTTTTTAATAGCTATTTAATGAGAAATCCAATATTGCAAAATTCAAATTGAATGATTGAAAGAACAGAAAAAGTCATTCTTTTCAATTTCGAATATGTTTCATTGTATTTATAATTATATGGCAAATAAGATATTTAAACTTGATTTTTGAAGGAAAATTCACAAAATTGAATTAATTCAAATAATTTTTATTCAAAAATAAACTAGTTATTTGAGTTTAATACTAATTATTTATTCAAACTACAAAGTTTGTAATTTAAAATATTTTCTGAGATCAGATTGAATTAATTCAAGGTTCTTTTCAATTAATATTCATGACCATATTACGCATTTTCGAACATTCTAAACCAAATATATAAAACTGGGAGACGAATGTTAAATTTGCTAGACATGGGGGAGTTGTCTGCAAAGTTTTAGCTCTTATCTCTAACAAAAAATTAATTTTTAAAAAAATGACCGAATACGTTTCACAGCGAGAAAAAAATAAAAGGCAAGATAGAATTTTCTAGACATAAAGAAGTTGTTTACCGAGTTTTAGCTCTTATCTCTAACAAAAAATTAATTTTTAAAAAAATGACCGAATACGTTTCACAGCGAGAAAAAAATAAAAGGCAAGATAGAATTTTCTAGACATAAAGAAGTTGTTTACCGAGTTTTAGCTCTTATCTCTAACAAAAAATTAATTTTTAAAAAAATGACCGAATACGTTTCACAGCGAGAAAAAAATAAAAGGCAAGATAGAATTTTCTAGACATAAAGAAGTTGTTTACCGAGTTTTAGCTCTTATCTCTAACAAAAAATTAATTTTTAAAAAAATGACCGAATACGTTTCACAGCGAGAAAAAAATAAAAGGCAAGATAGAATTTTCTAGACATAAAGAAGTTGTTTACCGAGTTTTAGCTCTTATCTCTGTTCCATATTAAGTTCTGTCAAAATGTAAGCTATTCAATTCTATCGTCGGGGGAAGTATCACAAATCTATCAATTTTTTTCCAAATATATTTCCAATTATTATCATTTAAACTATATATTATTATCATTTAAACTATATATTATTATCATTTAAACTATATATTATTATCATTTAAACTATATATTATTATCATTTAAACTATATATTATTATCATTTAAACTATATATTATTATCATTTAAACTATATATTATTATCATTTAAACTATATATTATTATCATTTAAACTATATATTATTATCATTTAAACTATATATTATTATCATTTAAACTATATATTATTATCATTTAAACTATATATTATTATCATTTAAACTATATATTATTATCATTTAAACTATATATTATATTATTATCAGTCTCAAGTTAAGCTTCCTATGATCTATTCTATCTATATCCTAAATATGAGTCCTTTTCTCAGGCTAGAAATAGTGAGGACTGTTTCAACCTCTTTGAGTTTATTTCTTAAATTTTAAAGTCTCCGTTTCCTTAAAACAGGAGCTCCCAATGAATTTGGCTGGCGTGTTGAATGAGCTTGTTCATAGAATGGACAGATATTCAAGATATATCATTTTAAAATTTTGGAGAAATTTCTGAAATTCATATATAGAATGTTTGGGAATATCTTGTAGGAAGATATTTTATAAGTGATAGTATAAGATATGATAGATTCTTGTAAGTTTGAAAGAATAGTCAAAGATTTACATAACTAAAAATCCAGAGAAATGCATATAATTGTTGCATGCTAAGTTCGGTCAACGATAGAAATTGAGTGAAAATTAATCGTCGAGGAAGTACGATTATGTAAAGTAAAAAAATGTTGTGGGATTTTTAATATTATATATTATTTTATAATAAAATTTTTTGAGTCATTTTAAGAAGCACATATAATTTTTTGAATTTAAAAATTAAAGTAGTGTCAAACGAATTTATCACTTAATTTAATACTCAGATTTCTTAAAATTAATGAAAAAAAGGTTTTCTGAGAACTTTTGAGAATGGTTTTCAAATTCCATTATTGAAAATATATAGGTATTGTATGAAATTCAAACTCTATATTTATTAAAATTCTAAATTTTTAATAAAATAACTTTTCAGAGGAATATGATTTTGAATGGTTGATTAATAAGTATAAAAATGTCTACGATTTTAAGGAGGGAATTGTTCCTTATGAGGTATACATCATAACTATATACCTCATAAGGAACAATTCCCTCTTGATAGCTGGGAAACTTTCTCTGAATAACTTATCATTTGGAGAAAGTTTCCCAGCTATCTATTAGAAACTAAAGGCTGTGAGGCACTAATATATAATCAGTGCCTCATAGCCTTTAGTTTCTTATTAAAAACGAGAAAACTTGTTCGAAATGATAAACAATTTCGAACAAGTTTTCTCGTTTTAAGGAGGGAATTGTTCCTTATGAGGTATACATCATAACTATATACCTCATAAGGAACAATTCCCTCTTGATATCCTGGATATTTTTGAATATATTTTTTTTAATTAAAGTTCTCAAAAGTATTATCAAAAGTGATTTTTTTAAAAATATCTCCAATTAATTAACTAATTAAAAGTATTATATTTTTAAAATTAAATAGTTTTTCAATTTTTTTGAAGGAATTGAGATACTTCCCACGACAATAAAATTGAGAGGTTTACATTATGACTGATCTTAGCATGCAACATAATCAATGGTGAAAATTGAATTATTTTTTATTTATAATCAAATCAATCTTCGAAAATATCAGAAAAAAATAAAGAATATTATCTTATCTAAGAACATTATTCTTTGGCACCATGCGAAATCAGAAGTTCTGCAGTTTCTTTATTATTATTCCATGCTGCTTTATGAAGTGCGGGTTCTCCATCTTCATCCTTTTCATTGACATTCGCACCATGTGAAATCAGAACTTCGGCAGTTTCTTTACTATTATTCCATGCTGCTTTATGAAGTGCGGGTTCTCCATATTTATTCTTTTCATTAACATTCGCACCATGTGAAATCAGAACTTCGGCAGTTTCTTTACTATTATTCCATGCTGCTTTATGAAGTGCGGGTTCTCCATCTTCATCCTTTTCATTGACATTCGCACCATGTGAAATCAGAACTTCGGCAGTTTCTTTACTATTATTCCATGCTGCTTTATGAAGTGCGGGTTCTCCATCTTCATCCTTTTCATTGACATTCGCACCATGTGAAATCAGAACTTCGGCAGTTTCTTTACTATTATTCCATGCTGCTTTATGAAGTGCGGGTTCTCCATCTTCATCCTTTTCATTGACATTCGCACCATGTGAAATCAGAACTTCGGCAGTTTCTTTACTATTATTCCATGCTGCTTGATCAAGCGCGGTTTCTCCATCTTCATCCTTTTCATTGACATTCGCACCATGTGAAATCAGAACTTCGGCAGTTTCTTTACTATTATTCCATGCTGCTTTATGAAGTGCGGGTTCTCCATCTTCATCCTTTTCATTGACATTCGCACCATGTGAAATCAGAACTTCGGCAGTTTCTTTACTATTATTCCATGCTGCTTGATCAAGCGCGGTTTCTCCATATTTATTGCATATAACTCTGGTTACAAAATATGTTCGCACTGATATTAATCTCAGATATTGTAAAAAAAATTAAAAAATAATTAACATATGAAACCCTAATAAAAGGATTAGAATCTAAAATTAGGAATTTAGAATGCAATTTTTAATCAATTTCTATATATAATTTCTTTGAAAAGTATAGATTGAAACAATCTAATTGAAAAATATCAAAATCAAGAATGGTATTACAGATGGATCCTTTTCCAACCAATTTTGATATAGCTCGATCCAATAATGAATCGAATATTCACTCATATGAAATACATTCTAATGGCGCTTCACACCCCTAATAAATTTACAAAACCGCAAATTTTCAGTGCTTACTTTTTTCTCGTTCTTGTGATATAGATTTTTGGAATTCGTCCTTTAGGTCTGTTAATATTTTGAGTTGTTTGTTTAACGCTTCATGCTTATGGTTTAAATCAAATTGTTGTTTAAAGATTTCTAAAATTTGGGAATTAACTTTATCATATGAATCATTTGTTATCTTTTCTGGTGATATTTCTTCCTCAACATCCTCTTCTTCTTGAATTGCTTGAGGTTCGTCAGGATTTAGTTTAAGAATGTATTTAATTTGCTCTTCTTGTTCCTGTTGTAAATGAGAAAGATTGCGCTCGGCTTCTTCCAGTTCGAGCTTCTTCTTTTCTAGTTTTTCGTATTTTAATTTAATATTATGCTTATATCTGTTTTCAAGATCTTGTATTTCACGAGATCCGTTCTTTTCTTGAGAAAATAGATTGGCTCTTTGCTCTAAAACCTTTTGATGCTCAAGATCAATTTTTGCTAAAATTATTTTTGATTGTTTATCTAAATATTCATTGTGAGAGTTTTGCTGTGTTTTCAGATAATCGATTTCTCTTTGTTTTTCTTTGTTATTATTGTTAATTTCACGAATTTTATCTTGTTGTTCTTTAACACGCTCATCTGAAGCTCTAAGTTGATCACTGTAATTTGTAATGAGCTGTTGGAGTCGCTTGATATCAGCTTTGACTATCTCAATTTGTTTTGGAACTTCAGAATCAGGAATTTCTGTCATAAAAAAAGTGAAACAAAAATGATGAATTTTCAGTTTTGCTGATGAATATATACAATTTACATGCTTGGGGACTTAGATAATACGAATCGAACAGTACTGCAATTGATTTCATAAAAATTTAGATATATGATTAAATTTATACTTTTAAGTTGATATTTGAGTAAATCTACTCATAAAACATCAAAGTAATTCCATTTTAATACCAAAATTTATATGACCATCTGAGCAAAATTAAATTTAGGCTATTAAACACGTTATATTTTAATCAAAGATAGAATTAGACACATAAACGTAGGGCTGTACAAGATTTAAAAAAACATTGCCGGGTTACCGTAGAGGCCTAAAAAAATCGCGCCTCGGCGGCAAGCCGCCTCGGCATTAAGAATGCGCATCTAAATTTTTATATGTCCTTCTTTCTTTTATTTTTCCCTTCCCTTTCTTTTCTTTTTCTTTTTTTTCCCTCCTCTTGCTCTCATTTACCTTTTTTTTCCTTTTCTCATCATTTTTCAAAATTTTAAATTTTTATCAAAAATCTTGCCTATAAAAGCAGACTATGGAACCTTTTAATGCCTCTTAATCAATATTATACAGCATAAAGCATATTAAATGAAAGTAATTACGTATAAATTTATTTTATTATCTTATTTATTAATTCTTTAGCATGTATTGTTTAATATTAACTTTTCTGTACATTAAATATGATATCTCCAAAGTATGAATGCCTTGTAACGAAACGAAAACTTAATTTTATGTTGAATATTTGTCACAAACATTAGATTATTAAAATATATGTTGGATATCCCTTAGTATGAGACTTCATGACTCTTGTTGTCTAACGTGAGCTTTGGATTGCAAGCTCTGTGGTTAACGAACATAAATTAATTGTAAAGTTTTCAAAAATTTTCATCGTTTCTATCAGCATCTATTTTTCCTTTAAAATAATATATTTGTATGAATACAATATTTAGTAATTTTTTTATTTCCCATAATTTCATTCAAAATTTCAGAAAAATTAATTTCTATTCAATATTATTTCAGCTTCAAAACACTTCATTCTTATAGATGTTGATTCACTAAAGTGTGATACTCAATGTCTTATTTCAATGAAAATTGTTCTGCAAATTTATTTCACTTTTGACCTCACTTTTTCCGTAATTCAATTTTTTACTTTTAATATTTTAGATCTTCATAATATCATTTGAAAATTAACCATATAAAAAAATCAAGTTAACAATTCACTTTTTCCGTAATTCAAAAATCAAAAATATAAATAATATATCTTTTTATCAAATATTATTATTATATTCTATGAAAAATGAGGTCCGGAAATTTTGCGGATTCCCGTAACTCAATTTTACGGAAAAAGTGCAGTAAACTATTCAAAATACGGAAAAATTGGTGTAAACTAATGATTTTACGGTAAAATCACGGAAAGTCCCGGAAGAATATATGTGCCTATATGAAATTATACAAAAATGAATCAAACGCATTTTAAAAGATTGTTCTTGTATTATAAATGCTATTCGCAGATTTATTAGTTGAAGAAAATTACCAAATTTTTGCCGATTTACAAAAAATGATTTACAAAGCATATTTTTATAAGGCTTTAAAAATCTTTAAAATGTGACCGGTGACGGAAATCCATGGTAACCAACCGCGGTTCCCGTTTGGAATGCCATACATAAACGCAAATTTACATATCAAACAATTGTGATAACCCAATAAAGGGAAAAATTGCTGAATAACGGATGACAAAAGTCATTTCAAAAAGTTTGGAAGGTGGATTCAGATGTAAATTAAACAAATAACATAGTTTAGAACACAAATATTAACAAAAGTAAAAAATTAATTCATTTTCATTCCATACATGTTTGGTGATGAGGCATCCTTTTTGTATTGATCACTATTGTCATCACCTTGACCAGGTTCTAGTATAATTTGGCCTAAAGATAGTTCTTGTGGCTGATTTGTTGTCATTCGAAGTCTTACTGATGGATTTTCATGAATAAATGTATATACTGCTGATGTTGGAGGTATTATTCTTATTGTCCAGTTCCTAGAATCTTTTCTATCTACGAGAGGCTGAAGCAACTCTGATTTTGTTGTTTTGTCATGGTTTGATAGCTCCCATCCGAGATGTTTCATCGAATTATTGATTCTTGAGCGGCATGTTGAAAGAAATGTTTTAAGATAATTTGCATTTATAGCAATTTCATCGCCAATGATGATTATTCCAACTGAATGTAGTGTCTGAATAGGATTATCAACAGATCCGAGGATAAGTTTTAATAATAGAAGGACTTCCAAATCGATTGGAGAACCTTCTGGATTGTGACCTCTTGTATGGCGGAGAGCAGCGAAGTATTGCTTCATACTTTGCATGAGAGTATATTCTTGCACAAAGTTTGGCATCTCAGTTATTACTTTTGCAAGTTGCTGCTCATCTTCCATTTACAATACTATCCTCAATTTTCAATAATCTCCCTCAAATTTTGAAATATTCAGAAAATAAATGCATATAAATATTAATCTGCATAAAGTGTTAGAAATATTTAACTTTGATTAAATTTTATTGAATTCTGGAAAAATTTGTTTCCACGGAAAAAAGAGTGTCGAGCTTGCAAGACATACACATTTAGCATAACCAATAGAAAACTACTCTAAGGACGGAAATTAATTCACTAGATTCATTAAATTTAGATTTAAATTTCAACATATAATTGACTTCAACAATATTTAAATAGTAAATATGCTAATCTTAAAGATTGTAAACAATAGCATATCCACAAATAACTAGTTATATGTAAATTTAAATTGAATATCAATTTTTAAGATGTTGCAGAGGCAGTCACTATATATATTCAAATGCTGAAGAAGCATGGTGTATCTCCTCTCAACCATTTCAGGCGTACTGGTGCTTTAATGCAAAGAAAACAAAGTGTTTTGTAAAAAAATAAAAACGATTTTTTTTGGAACTTTATTTTTTCCTTGAAAATCCAAAAATAACAAATAATAAGGCATTACTAACAATGTATAAAAAAGACCGTTTTTTAAAAGAATACTTTTTTTATTGAATTCAATTAACTAGTTCCTATCATGAAATCTCCAAAAGCACCTGGTGCTGCTAGTCTCAGTGAAGCAATAATTGCTTCAGGACTTGTAAAAAATCTAAAGCCAGAAGAAATCAGAGAAAAAACACCAGAAAAATTATCAGATAATTTCCAACCAGTAATCAAAAAACCAATAGCAAAAGGTCCTCCTTCATTTGCAGATTTTAAACCTCGATCAAATTCTCAATTAAAATCAATTGAAGATATAATCATCGAAAGACAATTAAATGGGCCTTTACCTAAACTCAAAAGCGAAAGTGCTTATTTACGTCAATCCAAAAATCAACCATTTAATGTTTATCCTGCACAACAAGAACCAGTAATACCAACTAATCAAGAAATTGAACAACTATTCCACGAAGACCAGCCGATTACATTTCCTCAAACACTTATGGCAGAACAAGCCATTGGAAAAGCTTCGGTTGGATCTCGCGAAAATTATGAACAATTAAACAATTTATTGCATTCACTTACAGCACAAATAAGTACAGATGTCAGTTTATCAAAAGCCGAACGTCTTGAAAAACAAAGAGAAGCTTACGATACAATTATGAGTGAAATTGTGCGACAAGGCTTTATAGAATGCGGAACAAAAGGCGAGATACTTCAATCCATACGTAATTACATGTTAGATGCCGCCGAACAAATCCCAGCTTTTCAAGAAAGAATTGACAAAGAAAAAATGAATGCGCAACAAGCTCTAGAAGAACTTTCCAAAGCGAGGATTGAGTTTAAAGAGAAGATGCTTGAAGCAGAAGCTAATGTAGAACGTCTCAAACATTCCAGTCTAACTTACAAAGAACACGCCGCTTTCTTTGAATCAAAGATTCCACAACTAGAAAACGAACACAAATCATTGAGAAACCAAGTGAATGATTTATTAAAAGTAAAGGAAAGTTTGGAATCCAGAATTTCCGAAGAAAAAGACAAAACAAATAAAGCTGTTCAAGAAAATTTGAGTACAAAAGAATTACTTGAATCAAGTACAAATGAAATCATGAGATTAACAGGCGAATACAAGAAATTAGCTGCAGAATATGAAGAATTAATGCGAAAGAATCAAGAAACAGATCATGACAATCAACATAAAGCATATCAAATCAAAGTGTTGAATTCGCAAATTGAAACAATGTCAAAAGAAATGAAAGACGTAAAAGAAATGCTTGGAGTTACTGATGAAGAAGAATATTATTATTCAGAGGATGAAGAAGGAGAAGGAAATCAATCCGCAAGAAGAAAAATAAAGAAGAAAAGGAAGAAACCAGATCTTGATAGTATTGCTGAAAGTATAAAGAAACTGTCGAGTAAAACTGTTGTTAAAAGAGTTGATCAAATCACTCAAACGAAAGGAGGAATCCAAGTGAAAAAAGAAAAGAAAAAAGAATTCAATTTGGAAGATACTGTTCAAGGAGGAATTCCTAATGAAATTACTCAAGAAAGATTAAAAGAATTCGCTAAAATGAAATCAGATTATGCTGCTGCTTCTTCTATTTTACCTTCAAATGCTGCTCTTTCTATGGATCAATGGAATCAGTTGAGAACAATTATATTAAAAAGAAATAAAATATTCGAGATAACTCCTGATAATTATTCGCATGCAATTATAGGTAATTTCCAGCTGCAAAATGCTTATGATGATCAAACAAAGATATTCGCAAGAGCTGTAATTGCTAAAATAATTAAAAATGCTGTAGAAAGACCTTCTTTCAAACAATCTGTTGTTCAAACAAATCCTGTTGTTTTGACTGTACAAAAGAGTACAAGAGAATCTCAAACTGATCCAAATATGTTCGAAGAAAGACAAAGAAAAGATGCTTTCACGAGATTTTTGGATCCAAAGTATTCAGACAGACAACCAAGAACTTTTGAATGGACAATTAAAGCTGTCAGATCTGTTTTTGATGAAAAAACTCTTAAAGATACAACAGACATAAATGAAGGAAGAAAAGTTAGTTCGATGCCGCAATTTGCTTTATCATGGAGTACAAGACAATATGGTTTGCAATACCTTGCTCAACAGTGCGCATGGGATTTGATTAATTCTGCAAGAGAACATCAATATAAATCTCCAGAAATCATGATATTTAGAGAATTTTTGGATGAAGATTTAAGCGTTCAACAATTAACTTTCTTCTTAAAAGTAAGAAGCCAATGTCTAAGGAAAGCAATTATGATACAAATAGAAAGTGAAGAAGGTGATGAAAAGTATCAAAGTGTCTTTTTGGCATCATTCCATGCAATTGAACTTATTAAATCTGTTTTGCAGAAATGTGGAAATGAATTTGTTGAAAGTGCAATTAAAGATTTAAGAACTCATTTCGTGAGAAAACCTTCTCCAAATGTTGATGAAAAGTTCACTTATGTTTCGATGATAAACTTCTTGAAGATTGCTATTGATTTCTTTAATCAATATGAACATATTGCATTACTTAGAATTGCAAACACAACGAGAATTATCCCTAAAGTTACTCCTGAAGAATTTATCTCTACGATTTCTCGTTTGATTCCTAACTTGAGAATGGAAGAAATACATGAAATATATAGAGTAAATTGTACAAATGGAAACAATGAATGTGTAACTTTATCTCTTGAAGAAATGATTGAGAAGTTTAAGAAACAAAGTTTGCTTTCTAATGACAAAACAACATTGGATGATTTCCCTCAACCTTCTGGTGAGAAGTTTAACCATATAATGAAAATATGGGAACCACTCAATCAAGAAGTTGAGAATTTGCTGGAAAAAGCACAAGAAATCAGTGAAAAAGAACCTTCTGTTGCAATTTCTATTATAAGTGTCAATGCAAAAGTAACTGCATTTCATAATTCTATTGCTTGCCTTGACTACAATGGAGCAATGCAACATATAATGAATGTGATGTTTGAGTTACAGAATTTGAAATGGAGATTAGATGAACCTAGTTTCGATTCTGTCAACTCAATTATTGAGAAGATCAAACCGATTTTTCATTCATAATGTATCTTTTATTATTTTATTTGTTTTTCTAAAAATATATAAATGTTTGTTGAATCATTCTTTATTTAAAATGATGAATACTATATGCTGTTAATAAAAGTTCTGACAATCTATAAAGTTTCTCGACAAATATTTGAATACTCAAAGATATTTTACAATTAAAAAATTATGAAGATTTAAGCTAACCGGAAGGAATGCAAAAAACCAGCAATTCGTTCTACATTGAAAACTTTTAATTGACTCGCTTATAATTTACATATGTAAACTTTGTTGCAAAATGCCTACATATAAAATTTTGATAGGTTTGCATTTCTAATTCTAAGGGTCTAGAGAAGCTATCAATTGTGAACTAGCATAAACTCAATAATGTTCCAACTTTGACAATCTAATTGTAACAATTACTTACACTTATGAAAAACAAATAAATCTATTTTATTTCATTTTTTACGCAATAAACAACAAATATACAAATCTATATCTATAAAATAATATTATTCAATTTCTCTATATTCCATGTTAACGAAAATCGACTGACTCTTTGAAATTGGATTCGATTTCGCGAGCAATGATTGAGGTCTTTTAGGCATCACAGCCTTATCCAACAAAGTAGTTACATGAGCAACATTCGAAAGAGTTGAGAAACTGAGAGGTCTTTCAGTCAATTCCTTGGACATCTGAGATCTCATTTCCATCATCATTTCGTCCTGATTCTTTTCGTCAGCAGAAAATCCAGCAATACTCTGTCCTTCTTCATCTTCAATTCCTTCATGACACAAGTACATTGCGCGGAGTTCTTCCTCAGGCATTGTTAGTTTCGTTCTCTGAGGGTTGTATGAATAATCCGATGAAGGAGAACAAAAAGAAACTTTGTAAGAAGGCAGAACTCCTTGGACAGTCACGGATTTCGAAAAGTTTCTTCCTGTCAACGCGTGAAGTTTGTTTGTTCTCGGTCTTGCACTTGTAATTGAAGGAAGTTTTGCAACAGCCATCGTGTGTCTAAATCTTTCTTCTTTCGTCTGTTGTTGCTCTTCTTGAATGTCTGACAACATTTGGTTACTTATTTCTGTGAAACTTTGGTTCTTCTTTATATGTTCTTGGTTTTGAAGTGAGTGCATGAAAATTTGCTGACTTTGTGACCTCGTTATCTTCTCTTCTTGTTTCGAAACATTTTCTTCTAAATGATCTAAATTTTCATTCATGTTTTCATTCAAAATTTTGTCAGAATTTTTCTCCAAATTTTGATTGTTTTCTTGTGAAATTTTTTCTTTTTCTTCTTCTGGATTTTTGTCTTTTTTATGTGAACTTCTGTGTTTTCGATGATGCCGTGGTTTTGATTCTTTTTTGGTTTCTGACTTCACTTCACTTTTGACAGTTTCACTTTTTTGGTTTTCTTTTTCATTTTGAAGTTCATTTTCTTCTATTTCTTCTTTGATTTCGGTTTCTGGTTTCACTTCACTTTTGACATTTTCATTATTAATTTCTTCAATTAGAGAATCTCCTTCACCTGAAGCGTATTCTTCGAAGTTTGATGAGTTATTGATCATTGAGTTCTTTGTGATATTGAGTTTGGGAGTCATATCTTTTATCTTCTTCTTTTTAGATGAAGAATCTTTTGACTTTGAAGAAGATTTTTTGTCTTTTGTCTTTTTATTTTCTTTTTTATCTTTTTTGTGTTTGTCTTTAGATTTCTTCTCTTTCTTCTCTTTCGATTTGTGTTTGTGCGAACTCTTGTGTCCTTTTGAGTCTTTGCTCTCAGTGTTTTCACTCTTTCTTTCATTAGTTTCTTCTGGGTTTTCACTTTTCTTCTCAATTTTTTCAGATTTTTCCGATTTTTCTGATTTTTCGGTTGGGGGAAGTTCCTCTTTCGGATTTGTGTCCTCAGGTGGAAGTAAATCTTCTGGAACTGGTTCTTGGTCGAAAACTGTTTCGGTTTGGATCTCTGATTGGATAACTCTGTTTGTTTTATCTGGGGAGTGCCTTCTTTTGCGTTTTGGTGATGGGGTTCGATCTGATTCTTTTAATTTAGTGGAAAGTTCGGGAGAATTGGCGTTTTCTTGGATCTGGGAGTTTCCTGACTTGGAAGGTGATGATTTTCTACTAGAAATCATTGAATTTTGAGGACTTTTTGACAAATTTGAGTTTTGATCTTGGTTTTTCTTGGAATTTGATGAGTTTTCTTCTTTAACTTGGGAGTCCTGTTGGCTGTTCTTCTGAATTTCGTCCAAATTAAGAGATTTTTCATCAAATTTTATCGAAGAATTTTGATTACTTTTAGAAGGAGAAGAATTTCTGGATCTTTGTCTCGAATCTTCCTTTATCTCCGAATTTTGAGTGCTTTCTTTTGGAGATTTACTTGATATCGAAGATTTCTCTTCATTTTTGATTTTTGAGTTGGATTTCTCTTCTTTCAGCTCTGAGTTATGTTGGCTCTTTGATTTAGAGTTCTCTTCTTTTAATTCAGAATTATTATTCGGAGATTTATTTGGTTTTTCATCACTTTTGATGTTTGAGTTTGATTTCTCATCATTTGGAAGCTTGGAATTCGATTTTTCGTCACTTTTTATGCTTGATTTGGAATTTTCTTTGGATTTTAATTTGGAATTCGATTTTTCATCATCTAAATCTCTTAGTTGGGAGTTGTTTTGGCTCTTTGACTTAGAATTTTCATCTTTTAAGTCAGATTTAATTTGAGAATTCGAATTCAAAGAATTTCTTGATTTGTTTTCTTTGTTTTGGGAAATTTTAGATGGGAAATTCTCCAAATTCGTTGATTTTTCTTCATTTTGAATTTGGGATTTCGATGGAGACGAATTTCTTGAATTTTTCTTTTCTCCATCGAATAAAATCGAACCATTTCTCTTTTCTCCATTGAACAACAACGAATTTTCCTTCGAACTCGGTTGATTTATTTTAGGAATCGGAGAATTGTCTCTGGAATTGATTCGGCTGCCATTAGATATATGCGATGTCTCTCTTGATGGCGAATTCGACCTCAACGAATTCTCTTTTTTGGAATTATTGTCCAAATTAGGAGAAATTATGGATTTCTTATCATTATTTTGAGTGTCAATGATCTGGGATGTATTGACTGTCTTGTCTACAAGCATTTCCCGTTTGTTTTCCGGTTGATTATTATTTTGGAAAATTGCAGGGAGATTTAAGACTTTGTTGAGGGCATTGACAGCGGCAACAGTAGCTATTTCGGATATTGCGGCTACATCATACAAAGTTTGTTCTTTTTTCGGAGAATTATTCGAAATAAAATCTTTTTCTCTTGAAACGGGTTCTTCTTTCTCTGGTTCTGTTTCTTCTTCCTCATAATAGCTATCATAGTATGAATCTGAGTAATATTCCTCAGATTCATCTTCGGAATTTTGATTTTCTTCCTGATTTTCCTGGTTTTCGTGGTCATTTGTACGGGGAAGTGATTTAGAACGAGTGTTTTGGTCATGCTTCGCTTGGTTTTCGTCATTTTGCTGAAATTCTTTCCGAAGTTGTCGATTTGCGTTTAAATAAGCCAGAAATTCATTGAAATTGTTCGGAGGCATTTCATTTGGTCGTAAATTTGTCTTTATTTGTTTTTTATTTCTTGAATTTTTTTCGATTTTTTCGTTTTTCTCTTCAGGAATGCCGTCAATGTTCTGTCCGGGCGATATTATCCTCGACATACTATGCGGATCGACCGAAGATAAAATACTAGTAGATTCTGACATAATTGGGGTCATTTGACGGCTTCCATATAATCCTGGGTGGGTATCTTGTGGGTAGTTCTGGTAAGTAGGAGTAATTCGTCCTTCTTGTGAAGTTTTTCTTGGATATTTTTGAATTTCTTCTTTATTGCGTCGATTTGAGTTTTGATTGTTATTGTTCGATTGAGATTTAGCTGTTACTTTATTGTACTTTGATTTATGATCGAAATCTAAATGTCTGTGGCCATATGGATCGTATTGATGTTTTTGTTCAGGCAAATTATCGCCATCACGCGTCTCTAGTCTGTATCTCCATCCATGGACTGGAAAATCGTATTTCTTTGGCGGATTTCTTGCTGATTGAAAATTCGAGTCAGGAGTTGATATATTTGGATTTGCAGTACTTCTAGACGATGGTTTGTCTCTTCCTGTATTTGATGATGACGATCTTTGACTAAGTTGGGTTTTATTTGAATTTTGGGTCGAATTTGGCAATTTTAATTGATTTTTATGATTTTGATCATTATCAGCTGAAAATAAATGGTCTTCAATATGCAAATTATTGTAAAACAAGTCAATATCTTGACTATTTTGTCTATAATATAAAGGAGAAACTCCTGTTGAATTTGCATAAAGGAAATTCTCTTGTTTTTTGGATTTCTCTTTGTTTTCGAAAACGGAATTGATCAAATTCTGAGTAGGTGGTGATGAATTTTGAAAATTCACGTTTTCGTGGGATTTATCAAGCTGTAAATCAGATATTTCCCCTAAAGAGCCATTTTCATTGTCTCCCCTGTATTGGTTATCGTAATTGGATGGCCTAGTACTTGCCATCTTATTCAGGAGAAAACTTGAATAAAAAAATTTTTCAAGGATACGTTTTTTTATTTATTTTTTGTCACTTTTTATTAAAACAAGGTAATATATTCTAAAGCTCATATTTTTCCAATATTCCATGTAAACAATGATTTGAGCATCTTTATGTATTAGCAATGCTAATGACTTAATTGTTGTCTGGAAATAAAGTTATTCTAATAATTTTGAATAATTTCTGTTAATTTGGAGTTTCATCTGATTAATATGAATTCATCTCGAGATCAATGTATGTATTTCATATCGAACATACTAATGAATATATAAATAAAGGATCTTCTATGAAAGGAATATAAATTAGATTGTTTTGTAAAAAGTGACAAAAATTACAACATCTTTATAAAAATTTAGTTCGCAAATTATACATCATTAAACTCGTAATATGATATTTATATAGAATTGAGAATAAATTATTAAAAAAATTAGGAATGAATCATGACGTATCTGAAAGCTACTTTGATGACTTCCTTACAAAATTTAAAGATTACAGTGATACATACGAATCACTGTATTGCCTTAATGCAGTCACAAATGATGAAATTGATCAGATATATCAAAATTTCAAATTAATTATGATCCAAAAATACAAGATTCCTCCGAGATATTTGTTAGTCAATATATCACATATGGCCCGCTATCGAAATCTAAATTTAAAAATCTATTGGGAAATCTTTTGGAAAATTTATGAAGAATATCATCCTAAATTGTCAGATAAGATATCCGAGATATTCGCATATTTCCTATACAAGAATCATTCGATTTGGTGTCGTAAAATTGCCCATTTAACAGGAAAGCATCAATATTTTATTTTGGATGTTCATGAAAAAGGGACAATTCTAAGAGCAATTATGTTCGATGATATTACATCATTCCTTGTCTGTGTCGATAGAAATGATTTCAATTTGGAGAATTTGCCAATAAATCCATTATATCCACCTGGTTGTAATTCATTATTGAAATTATGCTGTTATCATGGAGCAGTTAAATGTTTCAAATTATTAATATCAAAATTTAATATTAAAATAGATAAGGATTGTCTTAATCTTTCATTTCTAGGTGGAAATCCGGAAATATTGAATGAATGCTTGAAAACTCAAAAACCAGATTTGACATGTATGAAATATGCATTAAAGTCACATAATATCCATTTTGTTACTTATTTGATGAATGAATTCAAAATAGAATTGACAATTGATGATTGTTGTTTAAATAATAATCTACAGGCGCTCTTTATTTTATTGGATCAAACAAAAGATATTAATAATATTTTCTTCTCATCCTTGTTTTTCCATTCACCAGTTTTGATTGAATATTTTATATCAAAAGGAGTTAATGTCAACATGAAAAGGATTGATCGGAATAACATTTTTCATCTTGCCGTAAAGGAAAATTTACCAGAAATTTTAGGACCTTTGATTACTTTTGGAATCGATCCATATTATAAGGGTGAACATGATAATACTGCTATTCATCTTGCTGCAGAATTGAATTCTATTGAAATTAGGGAAGCTTTATTTTCTCTCGGTGTTGACATCAACACGAAAAAAAGAAATGGCGATACTGCACTTCACATTGCGGCAAAATATAATTTCATAGAATTCGCTAAATTTTTGCTTAACCATGGGGCAGATATCAATTCGAAAAATGAAAGACTCAACACACCTCTTCATACTGCAACATTGAATAATAATAGGGAATTTGCAGAGTTTCTTTTATCACAAGGAGCAGATATTAATCTTAAAAATCTTTCAGGAGAAACACCATTGCATACTTCATCATGGTGGAGAAGAAATAAAGTAATGGATGTTCTATTGAGATTTAATGTAGATGTTAATGCAAGAGATAATCATGGGAGAACACCACTTCATTGTGCGTCCTTTAATAATTCACTAGAAAATGTAATTTTGATGCTTAAACACGGAGCTGATCCAAATTTAAAAGATGATGTAGGGAATACTGCATACGATATAGCTGTTTATCGTGAGTGGAATGAATTAGCAGAAATTCTTAAGGATGGACAAATGATAATCGATCTACCTCCAAAAAGGGATTTCATTAATATTGTATTAGGAATTTATCATTTGATATTTGAAGAAAATTAACTAAATTATCCCAAGATTGTTAACATAAGGATTGTTCCATTTGATTACTATGTTGGGAAGCGCAGATTTCAAATGATCATTTTGTTTCAATCTTGCTATTTTTGAAAGCAATAAACAGAAACTTATATTGAAATTTAAACAAAATTTATTTTATAAAACATTTTCCAGGTAATGATTCCAATTTTAATTTGCATATTGGAAAATAAAATGATGTAAAATAATCTTCAGATCTTATTGGTTCTGGAGGAAATAAAAAAATATCTACTATTTCCTTAAATCCTTTAAATGATGCTATTTCATAGGCCGAAACACCTCTTTTATCTCTTGCATTAGCAATTGCACCGTATGAAAGAAGAAGAGTGACGATATCTTTTTTATTATTCTTTGCAGCATAATGTAAAGCTGTTTGCCCATAATTATCTGCTTGATTTATGTCAGTTTGGTAAATTTTTGGTGAATCTAATAGAAGTTTGCATATTTCTGTATTTTTAGATGATGCAGCATAATGAAGAAGTGTCATCCCATTCTTAGATTTCTTTCCAAAATCAAGATTATCATTTCGGAGAATATTGATCGATTGTGGGATTGCAGCACACCATGGAATGATGTAATTTTTATTTTTCTTATATAAGAGGAAGAGTGGATATAAATTTTGTGATCTCTTAATACAATCACTAAAAGATAAATCAATGTAAAATAATTTGTGTTCAATTATGTATTTAATCACTTTATTATTATGTGATAAAATTGCATTTTGCATACACCAATAGTTCATTTTGAAACTTTTATTGCATTCATTGATAATGTCATCATTTCCTCCGATGATTGCATAAGTAAGAGAAAATATAGTAACACATTGTCCAAAATTTGAGAGGAGGAAAGAGAAAATATTTACCGATCCATAATATGCACAAACATCTATAATTGGATTGGCGTTGAATATAGGTAAATCAACATGTATACTTTCAAGAGAATGTTGAACTACATATTCTTTGAATTGATCAATTCGATCATATACAATAATGTTAAAAATATTATATTCTGCATCCCCTGAATGAAGCATTTGGTTTATATCTTTAAGATACATTATTTTGTTACCGCATTTTTTATATATATATTCTTGTTTGGCTGGATATTTATTTTTAATTTGACTTATTAGTTCTATGTAAATGCTAAGAGATCGAAAGTTATATTCAGCTGCGAGAATTATGGTACTGATAAGTTTAGTTATTGATAGTTTATACTTGTCAACTAAGCATGTCATAATCAAATTGAGGATTTCGTCAAAGGAATCATCATGATTGAGATGAAATAGTCTTTCATATGTTTCTATAAATTCATCATAGTGCTTAGACAACTTTTTACTCATCTGATTGTCGATAAAAATTTGGCTTAGAATTTCAATAGACATATCACTTTAACTCGTTTAAATGCGTAGTAGTATATGTTGAAGGGTTTTGTGACTTTTTTTGTAAACGTAAGAATTCATACAATATCGAGTGATTTTGTATCATTTTTTTTAACATATGAAGTAAAAAATGTATGATTCTTACGGTTTTTATTCTTACGTTTTTGAATAAATCAAGATTTAAAAAATTTTCAAAATTGTAAGACATTTACACTAAACCCATACATAATGAAATAAAAAAAATAAAAAAATAAAAAAATAAACTTTAAAAATTCATGTCTTACATTTTTGAATAATTTATTTTTTAATTTGTATGAAAATGAGTGTCAAAACTAACAACGTTAAAAAATTGGGATTCACAAATGAGGAAATAAAGGATATATTAGAGGAAGCGGGTTATGAGGTTAGTAAATATTATTTAAGAAATTGTCAAAAATTCGCGGAGTTTTTAAATGAGTTTGATTATGATAGAAAAATGAATAAAGATGATGTTATAAATTTCTTATATCCCACATCTGAAGAAAAACCTAAAGAACCTGATGTTTTCCCTGAATATTATGAAGAACGAATTAAAGATGATGAATATGATGAGATTGAGAAATTGGAACAATTAAGAAATGAAATAGATGAAAAAATTAAGGAATTGAGAAATGCTGAGAATGAAGTAGAGGGTTTAATGAATATCCCAGCTTCAGAATCAGAAGTTCAAAAATCACATGAGGAAAGATATAAAAATTACTTTTTGGAATCTACTAAAAATTTATTAGATGGTGATATTGACGAAACACTTTCAGAAGAAGGCACAAAATTTATTCATAAACATAAGTTACAATTTATTGACGATGGAGATTATCCATGTATATTACTTTCACCTCCTCTTGATTCTGAAAAATTCAAAAAAGCACTGAAAAATGTAACATATGCAACAAATACGATTAAGAAAGAAGACCATGATATTTACACAAATTATTATTTAAATAAATGCACAGGTGTTGATAAAGTTTTTGATTTATTAGATAAAATATCAAAAGAAACAATTGGTACATATAAAATTTTATGTGATTGTGGTTTCATTATTGAAGATACCAATAATGTTTCATATGAAAGAACAGCACCGAAGGAAGACGAAGTGGAAAGGTCTATACCATTCGTTATTAAGAACATAAAAGATATGAAAACGTATAAGCATTATATTTATTCATTTATTTCAGAAAAAATGGAAGCAACCCATAAAACATCTTCTCATCATTTTATAGCTATTCATACATTCCTTTTCAAAGTTGTGAAATTAAATAAGACAGGAATTAGATTTAATGTATCAGGGTACGCATTCTTGAGTAAATTAAAATGTATTCGTCACGTCGCGGATGATAAAAATTTATGTGTTCTTAATTCATTTTATGGACTTTAGCCCTGGACTTTAAAAAAATAAACTTTATTTTTATTTTTTAATTTTTATTCTTACATAAATGAACAAAAATGGAACAGCTAAAATGAATGATAATCAAATAAGAGCCGAAGGTAGAAGGTTATTTAAACGCTTCTATAACATTCCTGATGGTGTTAATCCTAAAACTCGTAGAAGTTATTTAAATGAAGCCATAGATGCCTATGAAGGATTTGACATTTCATCAGAAAGTGAGAGGTTAGCAAGAATGTTAAACGTTAATATTGATTTTTATTATTGTGACCCTCAACCAGAAGACGTAGACATTAACAAGGTAGACTTTCCATTAGTGGAATCAATAATGATAGATCCAGAATTTGAAACAGTAAATATTTTATTAACACAGAGTCCATGTGGAAAACTTCACGCTGACAGAATAACAGACGTTGAAGCACTCACCGGCTATAAAGTTTGTCCATATTGTAAAGAAGAAGTTTATTCTATCCGTGATGATCCAGAAAGGAAAAACCAAAGAAGATTTTTAAAGCATTGTGAGAAATGTAAAGAAAATAATGGAAGATTAATTCAAGACGTTCAATTGCAAAACACACAACAACCATATGCACCACATATCACGAAACAGAAGATATATCAATGGCTATTAGCACATAATTTGCAGGAATATTATAAACCAACAAGATATTATATTACTTTTGACTTCGAAACATTAGAGACTAAAGAAGAACTTCAACTTTCTGAATGTGCAACTTTGAACGCTTACTTAAAACCATTCATGGTATCATCAACGGTTAAATTAAATGATAAAACATATACGAGGAATTTTTGCTTAACTTCGAGTGATTCTTTTATTTCTGATTGGATTGAGTTTTTATTTTCAACCTGTTCATTAGTTGCTAAATCAAATATTGAACAATATGAAGAATTAATGAAGTCGCAAACGGACCAAACGGCGGGGACTTTGTCTCATACATTAAATGAGAAACAGAAGGAAGCATTTAAAGAGCTTTTAGATGAAGAATTTAATAAAGTGAATATCATTGGTTTTAATTCAGGAAAGTTTGATTTAAATTTAATTCTTCGTGATTTAAATACTGCAAAATGGAAGATAAAATCAATGCTGGGTTCTTCTTCACAATTTAAGCAAATCATTGTAAAGAAAACAAACGTTCCATATGAATTGAGATTTATTGACATCAGAAATTATATAGCGGGTGGAACATTAGACCAATTCACTCAAGATTTCGGAAACAATAAATCACGTGTTAAATCCTTTTTCCCTTATCAATTCATCACATGGGAGAATTACGAAGATGAATTATATAAAAAGGAACCATTCACTCAAGATTCATTTTATTCAGCATTAACACAAGAAACAATATCCGATAGTGATTATCAAATATATCTCAATGATGCTAAAAATTTTGAGAATAGATTAGAATAGTTTATTCATTATTGCAATAAAGACGTTGAAATTATGATTGACCCAATTGATAAAATTATTGAAGAAACATTTGTTTATAAAATTGACATGCTTCATAATCTTTCTTTATCATCGAATGCATCAATGATTCGTTACGCGTTAGCATATAAGAACTTCAATCCTAACGAAACATATCCAGAAGAAGAAAATGTGGAATCAAGTTTTGAATTAACGAAAAAGTATTGGAAATATAAAATTGAATCATATAAGAAACAAGATGAAAAAGCAGAAAGGGATACTAAAAACAATGTTTCAATGAATGACTATCAATACTATCACGATTTAATCCTTTCATCTAAATGCAAAATGTGTGGTAAAGCGTTTACATATGCTAATAAACCAACATTGGATAGAATCGATAATGAAAAACCACATACCAAAGAAAATTGTCAGTTAATGTGTTGTTATTGCAATGTCGTAAAATCAAATAAAGATGAAGATGTTCAACGTTTAAGAATCAATTTAAGAAATTATGCATTAAAAAATAATTTACCAATGACTTTAGATTCAGTTGAAGCTTATCACATTCTCCGTAATGGAATTACTGGTGGTCTATCAAATGTTCAACATCGTGTTAATCTTAAAGGAATCACGCACATTAATAAACTTTCATATAATCCAGAAACTAAAACTGTATCAAATGAGGACACCACCAACATTATGACTCATTTTGTTGGTGTTGATTTTAATTCATTATATCCTTCATCATTTTCATCTAATCCTCATGATTTCATTCAATATACTAACCATAAAATGTATATGCCGGGAAGATTGAATGGTGTTATCATTTGTGATACAGCAACAAAGAAAGCAAAAGCACTGGGAATAATTAGAAAGAAAAATACTTTATTCGTGGCTGAAGTAAAGGGTCACATTGATGAAAAATACATTAATGATTACATAAACTTTTTACCAATAATAAGAAACTTAGATATTATCACAGATGAAAAAACAATTGGCAGTTTTATGTATAATTACATGAAATCAAACAATCTACCAGTTGACCAGAAACAGAGGAAATTAACTCAGTTAGCATCAACACACAACCAATATCAACCATTTTCTTCTTATTATCTTTGGTATCTAATAGACAGATTTCATTTTATCATTGATGATATTCAATCAATTTTAACATTTACGAAAAACACTTGCTTTAATGAATTTGCGAACGAATTTATGAACGAAAGACAAAAGGCTGAATTAGAAGGAAATAAAGGAAAAAGTTTATTTTGCAAGATTTTCAATTAATGGATCATATGGTTACGATGCAATGAATACACAAAATTACGCAAAGACTAAAATAATGAATGCACAGAAGGCACGCGTTGCATGTATGTCAAATAAGTTTAAAAACATAAGAGAAATAGGTGAAGATACGTATCAAGTGATGCTTAAAGATAGATTTTATAGATGTGATACATGTTTACAAGAGGCATTCTTCACTTTAGATAACGCAAAATACTGGTATTTGGTTTTCATTTATGATTTTATGTATAAATGCATGAATGTTAATCGTTTTCATTTCATTGAAGGTGATACTGATTCATCTTATTGGGCAATCGCTGGCGACCCAAATCTTCCTAACACTCAAGCATTTCAAGCAATTGTTACTGATAAACAATTTTATGATAAAAACATTTACAAATTCGCACCTTTTGATTTCTTTTGTTTTAATGAGAAATTTAAACCTAAATTAAAGAATAAAGCTGAAGAAAAAGCACATGAGAAGAAGTTATTGGGTTTAGCAATTGAGAAACAAGGTGATAACATGGTTGCTTTATGCCCTAAGTGTTATACATCATTCAACGGTTCAATTGATGGAAGTGATTTTAAAAAGATTGCACAAAAAATGAAAGGTGTTAGTTTAAGACAAAATAAGCAATTAACACCTAAAAATTATTTGGATATAATAAATGATAAAGTGATATTTGATGGTCAGAATATTAATTTACAACTTAAAAACGGGTCAATGACTCGCTTAACAATTGGTAAGACTGCATTAACAGGAGCACACACTAAGGCTGTATGTTGTGAAAATGGATGTTGTATGCCATTTATTTAATGAAATGCCACAGAAGAGACAAAAGGAACCGTTAATAATGGTTTTGATACTATGATTCAAAGAGGTGGGCACCCTTAAAACATTTATTTTATTTTTATATAAATGGATAACGCAGATTTAGAAAATTTAATTGATGATTTAGTACTTAATCAAAAAATTCTTAGTTATTATGAATTAAAATCATATCTCCAAAAATATAATAATAATATAACGGGTGATGATATGGATTATTATTATTCGTATTATAAAAATGAAATTTTGAAATATCATGATAGAATAATTTCTAAAATTAAAGACAAAATTAAAAATAATGAATATTCAAAGGGAAAAACTAAATCACAACTGAAACAATTGAAAGATTTTAAAAATAAAGTATTAACAGAAGAAGATATTGATGAATTATATAAATTATATAATCCTGAGCCGCAAAAGCAAAAGAAGCAAAAACAAAAGGTGCAAAACGCCCAGGTCCTTCAGACCATAAATGATGCACAAGCTTTAATTTATGATTCATTAGTTAAACCATATTCAGCCCGACTTTTAAATGAAGATCAACTTTTGGAATTCATCCTTCAACATAAACTCGAAGCGGGAAAGTATATTAAACCTTTATATACAGCATATTTAAAACAAATGAATAGAATACATCCAGAATTAATGAAGGAAGGAAGGAATTCCAAAACTTCATCATCCAAAATCAAAGCAGATAAAATTAAACCACTTGCAACACCAAAACCTCTAACGACAGTACCTGCAACACCAAAACCGCCTCCTCCTTCAGTTAATCCTTCATCATTCACTTTATTATATCCATTTCAAACATTAAAGAAACAAAAAGATTTTAAAAAGGATTTCAAGATATTAAATAAACCAATTGACCCAAAAATTCAACCGTTAAAGGAAAAATTTAGTCGCCCTTCATTTGCACCATATCCATATTCATATGAAATCGATCATTTAGAATATTCAAAAGGAAACGTTACTTATTTATTTACCATTAACATTAACACCAGATATTTATATTGCATTCCAGTGAAAGGGAAAACAGAACAGGAAACAAGAAGAGCTATTCAATACTTACTAGATCATGAAAGAGTAGATAATATAAGGGGTGATGGTGATAAAGGATTTCAGGCAGCTATGGCTCATTATTTCCCACAAATTAATTTTTACTTTTCATCCTCTCCATATACGTTTCATAATAAAATAGTTGATGCGGTAATGAGAACTCTTAGAGATGCGTTAGGGGTTAACGGTCAGATATACTGGGATGGAAATCATGACTCCATCATACAGCAGTTAGTATATTATTACAATAATACATGGCATAGAACTATAAACATGAAACCAGTGGAAATGAAAAATGATATTTCAAAAGAATGGGAATATATTAGAAAGCAAATGGAAAGGTTGAATGATGTTAAACGTGAACAAATTAATTCGGGGCTCATGAATTTTAAACAAGGGGATAAAGTTTTGATTCATCTCGATTATGGAAAAACTGATAAATCAATGACAAAAAGAAGACGAAGATTTGACACAATAGCTGAATTTGTTAGATATATTAACGGCAATGCATTAGTTGAAGTTAACAATAAATTAATAGAAATTCCGATTTATTTTATTACTCCATTATATTTAAATAATATTTAATTTTTTTTATTTCGTAAGAAATGAGTGACAACGAAGCATCCAAGAGTCCAGACAATGAATATAAAAAGAAACTAAACAGAATTAAATCAAAAATATGCTATTACAAAAAGAAGCCACAATGCGGTGAGGTTGAAAACGATAAAGAGAGGAAAGAAATAATCGAAAAATTAGAAACTTACCGTTCAATCCTTAAACTGAGTGAAGCAAAAATAAAAGAATTTAATAGAATAAATAAATTGATTGGAAGAGATGAATTTAATAAAGATGAATTTTTAAACTCAATCCAAATTTAATTTTTATTCCTCTTCGACAACATCTCTCTTTCCATCATTACTGCATAACCACATTTTCTCAGTTTTAGTGGTTTGTTATTTTTAACATGTTCTTGCATCATTTTTATCATTTCCTCCCTTGTTATGATTCGTGGTAAATTTTGAGCTTGTGGAGTATTCATTTATGATAAAAATAAAAATTTAAATTATGCCGTTCTAAAGTTTGTGACAACATAACATTTTGACAACACAGTAGGGGAAGGCAGTTATGAATTATTTTTGAAGAACTGGGGGTGCTACCATGTTACCATGTGCTACCAGGTCAATTAACTTTTTTTAAAAAATGAGACAACATGACATTTTGACAACATCTACGAAAATTTGATGCAGTCCAAAAATAAAGTTAGTTTTAAAATTATTTTTATTTTTTATTCTTATATAAATGACAGCAACAAACAACAACAGCAACTTTATCGTTTCTGATGAAAAAGTTATTGATTCATTAGCTGAGGAATTAGTTGTGGCAGAAACTAAAACCCTCAACGAAAGAATTGGTGAAAACAAGATTGATTTACATAACTACCTCAAACACGATGGAGGAAGAGGAAGGAAAACTGGTATGGCTTTATTAGTAAATAAAATTTCAAATTTAACGATTATAGATGTTGATATCAATAAATCATACAATGATGAACTTAAAGAAACAGTTAGAAAAGACATTTTATCAAAACTTTTGGATAAAGATGTTATCGTTAAAACCGCTTCAGGAGGTCTTCACATTTATTGCAACACTAATTTCTTCTATGCAGTTTCGAACAGAATGATTAAATGTTATTCCTGCAATGATTATGATATTGACATAATGACTTCTATTGATGATTCAAAGCGTTCATTAGTAGTTATGGCTGATTCAAGAGTTCGCAAGAATGCAACAGAACCAATCAAAACATACTCATTCATTCGTGGAAGTTATGATTCAACATTAACCAGAACAGTGAATGATATATTAAATGATTTGAATATTAAGGTAAGAGTTGAACAGAAGAACGAAGAAATAAAGACTATCATGAATGAAAACAAAGATGTAAACATTGACGATAAACTAGCTCAAAGCATAGTTGATGGCATCTGTGATTTTGAAGTACATAATGACGGTGGAAATATGAATTTAGAAAAAGAAATAACATTATTCACACTGTTTCAAGCTATTAATTCGTTACCAGATCATTTAATTAATGAAGCATACGATAACGTTTATAACTTCTGCAGCTTAACAGAAAATGCTAAAAGTAATTTTGAAAAAGCACGTAGTAGATATGCACATTTAATGACTTCTCCATTTGTTTTGGTGAAGATTCTAAAACTTTATCAAAAGGAATATTATGATGAATATGTTTTACCTTTATTACGTAAGCCAAAAATAACATTTGATATCAAACTTGATGACTCGTTTTTGATAACAGATATTAGACGCAAGGCTGAAAATCATCAGTATAAAAACAGTTCTGAAGTAATTGAGGATTTATCACGTGTAATCCGTTTTGTAGATTGTGGAAACAAATATTTCATTCAGAAAGATTACAACATACACGACAAAATGAATCAAATATCATTCGTTCTTCAATCAAACATGAAAGAGTCACTCAAAATGATTAAATTATTTAAAGAAGAAGGTAAAACCATAACAGCATGGGATGTACTACTAAATCAATTATCCTCATTAACCGTTAAGGGTGTTTGCTTTAAATCTGATTCCCCAGATGTTTTCTCAACGTTTCAGGGTTATAAATACAACATTCTTGAAAAACCAGATTACTCAAAAATTGAAATGTTTATGAATTTCATTAAAGAAGCCATTTGTGATAATAACGATGAAGTGTATAAATACCTTATCGGTTGGATTGCATCAATGATTCAACATCCTGGAATCAAGAATGAAACAGCAATTATTTTGAAAGGACTTCAGGGAACAGGTAAAAACAGATTTACAGACATTATTTCTGAACTTCTCGCTGGTTATTCATGTAAAAACATTACTGAAATAAGTGAGCTAACGGGTAATTTCAATTCGGTTGTTGAAAATAAAATGTTTCTTGTACTTAATGAACTCAAGAATGTAGGTGAAGACAGACTCGCAAACTTCAACGCTTTGAAATCAATTATAACGGATAATGAGATTAGAATTAATGAAAAGAATCAACCCAGAAGAACAGCACAGAACGTTGCAAACTTCATTTTCGTAACTAATAACGTTTACCCTGTCAAAATTGAAGTTGGAGACAGAAGATACGTAGTTTTAAGAGTTAATGGTAAATTCAAGGGTCAATTTGATTATTTCAAGAATTTGATGGATTCATGCACAAAGGAATTTTATGATAACCTTTTAACATATTTTATGCAATATGACCTTTCATCATTTAATGTACGAATCATACCGATGACTGAAGCCAAACAAGATTTAATAGAATTATCAACAAATCCTTTAGATGTATGGATAAATACACATTATGATGAATTGTGTGCAGGTATGACATGTAAAAATGCTCTATTCTGCAAACCATCAGACATGAAAGACAAAAACTTTCAAATGAGCATTAAGGATAAATGTGATAGGAAACATAGAAGAATAGACGGTAAACAAACATGGTGTTATGTTTTGAAAGAAGAAATGAAAGGATTATATAAACAGGTTGAACCAAACGATAATGAGGATTCATTTACTGACGATGAAATACCTGTAAATGAGCCGCTAAGCGGCGAGACCTGAAGGTCTAGCTTTATAAAGTATGATTTGAATTTATTTTTGCATTAATCCTGTGTTGTTGTCAAAATGTCATGTTGTCACATTTTTTCAGAGAAGTTAAATGACCTGGTAGCACATGGTAACATGGTAGCACCCCCAGTTCTTCAAAAATAATTAATTATTGAATAACCCATGACTGTTGTCAAAATGTCATGTTGTCACATTTTTTCAGAGAAGTTAAATGACCTGGTAGCACATGGTAACATGGTAGCACATGGTGACATAGTGACACCTTCAGGTTATTCAATAATTAAATAATTTTTGAATGACCTGAAAACATGAACGTAACCATTAACGTAACCATTAACGTAACCATTAACATAACCATTAACATAACCATTAACGTAACCATTAACGTAACCATTAACGTAACCATTAACGTAACCATTTATTTCTGCAGTTCATCCATTACTTCATTACCTAATTAATTACAGACATAAAATATATTTAGTTCATTCATTGAACTCTATACCATGCGTAAACTGTCATAAATGGCGGCATGTAATCTTTACTTTGTCCCGTTGTTTGTGTATATCCTGAAACGCGATGTGTATGGTTTCCTTCTCCCTGAGTGTCACTCCAGTAACAATTTATGGCAAACTTAACGTTGTCTTTAACATCATATCCTTTACCTTTTGTCATTCCTGACCAATCCCAATATCTATGCTTATGCCAACCCGCTTGAGATGTACTTAAATCTATGTAGTGACTGTGTGCAGGTAAATTTTCACCTGTAATCGTTTTACTTCCCCCTGTTTCCTTTGAAGAGTTTGCACAATACAAAAACCTGTCGACTATTTGTTCCCATGCACCAACACCAAACATTGCTTGAGGACCTCTCACATCCATAGATGTATAAATAGAACCTACTGGGTTCATTAAATCAAACATATGAGATAATATAGGATTGTCTCTTTTGAACTTAAAATATAGTGTAACTATTTCGGGTTTCTTCTGGTTTGTGTCAGAATATTTTTTATAATATAATCTTATGTTTTCAGGGTATGTAAAATCTTGACTATAATATTTATTTTTGTCATCTATATAATAATATACTATTCTCGTTTTTTCTATTGCATTATATCTTTTATATCTATAATAATCTAAATATAATGTTTGCTTTTTTGGGTCTACACGTGCGTCAACACCATAGTCATAATAATATGGTGCTGGAGCTACGTTAGACAATGTCATATCCGTCATTTCATAAACTCTTAAATATTTCTTTTGTTCGTCTCCATATAAGTTTAAGTAACAGTTGTTGTCTAATGGAACTTTAACTTGTGTGTCATCATTCTTTTTATAACTTACATACATTTCATTGTTATTTTTCGGAATGAGTTTATACCATATACCATTTTTAAGGAATGTACCAATTGCCCTCTAAAATATTTATTTTCTTCATAGACGGAAAAGTCACCAGCAATAGTTTCAATATTTTTAGTTGTTCCTATCAAACTTTGGTATATTTCATTCACATATTCTTTATTTGCTTTCTTCTCTAACTCATCGTTAACATAAGTTTTATCTGCTTTAAGGTCTAAACATTCTGAAACCCATCCTGTATCAGCTTTAGTTTTTAAAATCTTCGATGTCCGTTCATGGTACCATTCAACCCTTTCGATAATTTCATTATCTTTTTCATTAACATATTCCTTATCTGCTTTCTTCATTAATGCACTAGCCACAAGTTCCTTATCTACCTTCTTCATTAACTCACTATCCACATATTCCTTATCTGCTTTCTTCATTAACTCACTATCCACATATTCCTTATCTGCTTTCTTCATTAATGCACTAGCCACAAGTCCCTTATCTGCCTTCTTCATTAACTCACTATCCACATATTCCTTATCTGCCTTCTTCATTATGTCATTTAGGAAACCTTCTATGAATTCCTCATTTAAATTAAATCTTCCAATCTT